GTTATCCGAATTGTTCGTTAACCGATTATCGATTTACCATAGGTTTCTATGGGAATTTGATTAATTCGTTCTGGAGACCTTCAAAAAATAAAAAATATAGACTATACTTTCTTATTACGTTTATTTATATGTAATAATAAAAATACATATATACACGGTCTTGCATTTTTATTAGTCATGTTTTTTCCGTTTGTGGGGGTTAATTAATTAATTAAAGAATCTGTCCAATGTCGATTGCTTTTCTGTCTTCTTTATGATTTTTCAGAAGTAATTAATAGCATTGTAATTGTAGAGAACCCTAGGCCTATTAACCTCAACCTGGTTTGGATGCCATTTTAAGACCGTTGTTCTGTCAGAACAACGTCCTCCCACTTCTTTAAAAGATCTTTAATAGCAGATATCGGCATAAATCTGCATTTTCATAAGAAAATGTAAAAGAATTGTTTCTGTCAGAAATATAAAAAGTTGGAATTACAAGGGAGAGTTTCAAAGTTCGGAAGAATACTATCCTATCAGTATATACTGGGTAGAACGTTGATGTCGACGTCTCCCGTGCTCCGAAAAGTTTTGAATTGTTGCCTGAAGACAAAGGAAGACCAATCGGTATCCGTTATTTTACGTCTCTTCTTTTTGTGTTCGTTCAGTCAAGTGTTCGTTATCCAAACATGTGTTCGTTGTCCGATCATAAAAATCTTTCGCGAAAGTGTTCGTTATCCGATTTGTTCGTTAACCGATCTGTTCGTTAACCAATCACCCACTGTATTTCTATAGAGTGCCAGGCTGTGAACGGCTCATGTATTTGTAAAATCTAAGTGACTCGTACAACATGGAATTCATATAAAACGGAATAATCAACAGTGTTATAGGGGGATTGACTGTGTTAATTCTTTATTTAAATAGTCTTTATAAAATAAAATTCTTGAAATAATTAATGATTTCATGGTTATGTAAGTTAAATTTTCCAAATATACAAATCTCTGATAAATACCTTTTTAAGCATTCAAACAATAATTTAACTTTGCAATGACAGAGTTAATAATAGGTATAAAAGTTCTTTTATTTTAAATTTTCATTTCTTCATAATATTATATCTGGTATTTTATTTTTTTCACAAAATGAATAAAGCAGATTATTGTGACTTTTTTAACAGTTTATCAAAATCATTATGATCATTATTTGAAGAAAGTAAACATAGCTCGTGTTTTTTAGCATTCAAATTTATCTTTGATTTTTTCTTCTATAGATGACAATAAACATCTTATTAGTTTGAGAAAAGATTGATAAGTTTAGTCTTTAAAGTTTTATTTGCTTTGTTCATTATAATTAAAATATCATTCCAAAGTTAGAGTAGTTTATAAAGCTGTTTCAAATTTTGTATGCTATTAATTAATGAATTAGTATGCATTTTTGTTTTCTTCTTATATTCATTACAAATAAACTATCAAGTGCTGTTTTTAGTAAATGAATTAGTTAATGCTAAAATAGTTAAAATTTGTTAAATTATGGGTAGGTGATAGTCAGAAATGAATGAAACGTGATTTTCATGAAACATTAGTTAAAAATAAGAAATGAACCTCTTCGTAAACGTTCGCTGGTGTGTAAACATGTATCACTGGAGTTACAAAGGTTTTTTGGATGTGGTGAATTAGTTCAAAATTTAAACAGTTAAATGATTCATTTTAATACATTACAGTTAATTCAGGTGGGCTGTTGATAATATAAAATACTCATGAACATAAGTATGGAATTAGAGAAGTTGTAGCTATGAAAATATCATTAAAACATTAATACATGAACATATATATATATGTTCATGTATTAATGTTTTAATGATATTTTCATAGCTACAACTTCTCTAATTCCATACTTATGTTCATGAGTATTTTATATTATCAACAGCCCACCTGAATTAACTGTAATGTATTAAAATGAATCATTTAACTGTTTAAATTTTGAACTAATTCACCACATCCAAAAAACCTTTGTAACTCCAGTGATACATGTTTACACACCAGCGAACGTTTACGAAGAGGTTCATTTCTTATTTTTAACTAATGTTTCATGAAAATCACGTTTCATTCATTTCTGACTATCACCTACCCATAATTTAACAAATTTTAACTATTTTAGCATTAACTAATTCATTTACTAAAAACAGCACTTGATAGTTTATTTGTAATGAATATAAGAAGAAAACAAAAATGCATACTAATTCATTAATTAATAGCATANGCTTGTGTTGTTAAAGATGAGGGAATAGGTAACATGACCCCTTCTAAATTAAAAAAAAAAAAAGGAAGTCATTCATAAACCTTGGCTGAATATGTTATACATTTTATAAATTTTATATTATTAGTTTTTTAAAAGGATTTTTTTGGAAAATGGAAAACTTTTTTGTAAACCTTAGTTAGATGAGACAGCATGACAGAAAAAATACCAGAAATCCTTCTGTTACATTAAATTGAAAAAGTTAAATTACAAATAATTTTAAAAAATGTCTACTGGAGTATAACAAAGCAACTGAAGAGGAGCAAAAAAGCTTGAAACAGGTTTTGCATATTAATGGATAACTCCAGTTTGTTTATATGTCAATGAAAGAGGATTTAGAAAAGGACTTATGTTGCTTAATCTTCAACTTGAAGATAGCACAATATAGAATAAGGTGCAACATGCTTCTACACTATCAAAATAAGAATAACATTTATCACAGATAAAATTATATTTTTGTATTTTTATCAATGATTTATACTATATAAATTTTAAACATTAAACAATTTCATTTAATTATATTTTTTCTTCTTTCTGGTACTTTTACAAATATTTCAGCTAATTTGACTTTAGTGTATGAATTTACTTCAAAGATTATTGTTGCTTATAAGTTAAATATTCATTTGTTTCTCTTTCATATCTTTGGCAACACTTTTACTCATATTTTTAAATTTTTACCTCTTACCTCTTAGAATCCACATGCAAATTGAGTGCTTGATAAATTTATTTCTATTCCATCTTTATGTATACTGTATTAATTTCTATATGCCTGTGAAAATCTTTTCTATTCTTTGTAATCATTAACCAGATCATTAATAATCTTTTCTGAATTCTATTTATTCTATGTATATATGAAACATAGAATCAAATTCTATGTTTCATATAGCTGGAGAAATTTTAATATAGTTAGAATCACAGTCATGTTACTTTAGCTTTAACTTCACCGAAATCATTGTGATAATGTCCTGTTTTTATATGTTTACTTCTCTATCTTATTTTGACAACTTTTTGATGTCTTAATTTTAAAATGGCACTTTTCTGTTAAATTTCTTTATCATATGTAGTGCATCCTATATTTGTTCTAAATTAATAAATCATTGGCACAGAAATTCTTGGAAGGTATTCTATTCTTATCTAACCATAAGCATACAGAGAAGTAACAAATGTCTCTCCCCAGCCAATTTCAAAAACTAATAGGGCAATCACTGTAGACCTTTTGCTGATTGAGCATCACTAAATGACTTTCTTCAACTCTTCTATCAGAAAGGGCCATTGTAATCTCTGTCCTTAACAAAAATAGAACAACATTGTCAATTACAAAGTTGTAGCCCATGAAAAAATACATACTATTATCTTTTAGTGCATTTTGAAGTATCAAGTGAGTTCCTGGAACAAGCTGTGAAATATGACAGGTAAATGCTTCACTGCACAACACATAAGGGAAAAGCAGTGCACAATTGTATAACAGAAGAGCATGTGAGAGTGGTTGATTGTGCAATTCAAGCATATCTTGCAGAAAAACAGCTGTTTGCATCTATTATGAAAGGTAACAAATGAGGGCAAAAGATTTCTTGAATGTATCTCTGTGCTATCAATGTCCCTTGCATGGCACAACTAGGAATGACTTTATGAGATGGCTCCCCAGACTAACATGCCAGCAGTAGTGTTCCACTCAGCACTAAAGATGGGATTGAAGCACTCACCAATGGTCCTCAACATTCTAACAGATCCATCCCAAACAGAACAGACAAAAGATGATATACTGCCAGTCTGTTGCAGTCCATTCTTCTCCATCATTGCACCATTGATTTGGAAACAAAACAATGCTGGGTGCTAATGAAAGGATGCCTAGTGGTTACAATGCATGCAAATTTGCTTGGACCAGTTGCATGCTAGTAGTATGGAAAGAAATGGGGTTCTACAGTGAAGCTTTTGCTTTGATAGTAGACAAAAAAGCCATTACAACTGTCTGTGATCATCTCAGACTATTGTTTTTCCTGGTAATCTGTCTGGGGTGTCCAGAGCTTGTTCGCCATGTATATTTGTCTTGACATAGCACTTACCCCAAAATCTTCTCTCACTCAGTTCATAGTTGCCCAGATGATAATTTTGGCAAAACTGTCCTGCTTCCCTATAGCCTTTCTCAAACTCTGTCTGCTTTGCATAATGTCTTTGACTGCATTGTACAGGATGTCTGGCATTTGAAAACTTCCAAACAACAGGTACACTGAAAATTAGGACCGGAGTGAGACTCTTCAACTCTTTTTATATAATATTAGGGTAATGATTTTATGAGGACAAAAGATTTCTTGAATGGAACTGTTGGTAATATTTGATATGAACCTGGACATCTGTAATCATTTACATGCCTGTCTAAGGCATAGCTGTATGCCAAGTTTTTGCAATAATTGGATAATTCTATCTGGATGCAAGACTTTTTTGATAATAAATATATTTCAACTAAAAGCAATGAAAATGAGAATTCAGACTTAAATCATAATTAATTAAGTCAAAGCTCTTGTGATTTAAGAAAATACATAATTATTTATACCAGAACTATGTTAAATTCTTGTTCACTTATATTTTTTTAACAATTAATTTTTAATATAAAAATAAATTAAGTAAACATGGGCATCTGCAGAAAATTATTTGGGGGGATTTTCAAAGTATAATCAAAGTATTGACTTTACAGAATTGAATACAAACAACAAAAAAGAAAGCCAAAAGATTACCAGCACTATGTCAGGTGAAGACAAAACTTTTACTTGATGTATTCTTATATTAGTTTCTTAGGTTGGATACCGTTGACGGTCTTGTTCTTTGCTTGTGTTGTTAAAGATGAGGGAATAGGTAACATGACCCCTTCTAAATTAAAAAAAAAAAAAGGAAGTCATTCATAAACCTTGGCTGAATATGTTATACATTTTATAAATTTTATATTATTAGTTTTTTAAAAGGATNATTACATGTATCTACATCAGGCTCCTATTAAGTTTATAAAAAGTGTAAGTATTCATTTAGTTTCTTATTTAAATACAAAAAAATCAGTTCTAGAAGTTTAAAAATTTTATTGATTATATTTAAACATTTTCAAACTTTTCATAGTTCTAATTAAACATTATTTTAGAATTTGTTTAAAACTTTTAGTTTATTTATGTTTACTGAAAGTAAAAATCTGGTAAAAAAAATTTATGACAAATATATGATTAAAAAGTTCCATAGGATAGAAGAAACACTCCAAAAAAAGGAATAAATTAAAATAGCATCTTCTATTCTAGAGAACTGTTAACCTTGTGTTTATCTTAGATTTTTACCAATGATATATTTTTATAATGTGCCATCACCAGAGGAATGATTTTAACAAGTTTTACATAGTGAGTGGAGAAATGCCTCAAAATAGAGGTCAATTCCTCCATTTAATTTTGTGTTTCTGGTGTATGAAAAGGACAAATTATGAAAATGCTTTTTAATATTTTTGGAGTAGTTCTTCTATTCTAGAGAATTATTTAATAAATAATCTGCTTTATTGATGTAAATAAAAAAACCAAAAAGTATCATCCCAAGTACGAGGGGTGTTCAAAAAGTATTGGACCTTTATTTTTCCCGCGTAAACCAATGATGCACGTGAGGTCTCTTTCTGTGGAGTTGTGGAGGGGACACTCATGCACAGTCCTGAATTTTTTCCTGCCTGCAGGAAGCATCAGTCGCTGGCAGTCAGCCTATGAGTGAGGATGTGTAGTGAGTGCTCGTCGGATTCCACTAAGTTGGAAAATGACTGAACAACGGTGAGCAGTGATATTGCATCAAATTTTGCCAAAAGCTTGACAATACCCAAGTGGAAACCATTCGCAAGATTCAGCAGGCTTTTGGGGACGATCCTCGAGGCCAAAAAAAGTGCAGCAAATCCGCAACAATGTTAAGATCATGTTGACAGTTTTTTCAACTCCCATGGGGTGGTGTATCGTGAGTACGCACACCACAAGGCCAAACCATTGCAAAGGAGTACTACCAGGAGGTCCTTCATCGTCTTTGTGATGCTGTGCAATGCAAACGACTGGATCTGTGGTCAACCAAAACTTGGCAGCTCCGTCATGATAATGCACCCATCCATTCTGCCATCTGATTCGGACTTTCGTCGCCAAACACAACATTCGTGTGGTTCATCATGCTCTGTACTCTCCCGACATGGCTCTGTGTGACTTTTGACTATTTCCCAAGCTGAAAATGCCACTAAAAGGAACCCGATTTTAGTCAAGAGAAGACATCATGTGGAATTCGATAGATCAGCTGATGGCCATTCCAAAAGATGCATTCCAGCAGTGTTTCCAGCAATGGCAGGAGTGCTGGGAGAAGTGTATACATTATATACATTACCAAGAAGACTACTTTGAAGGGGATTAGGGTTTTGTACCTCAAAATCAATGAATGTATTTTTGCCGACCAAAGGTCCAATACTTTTTGAACAACCCTCATATTTTTAGACAAAATTAAGAGGTCTTTCATTATACATCAGTTCTTCAGATATATCTATCTTCAAAATACCTTCTCATCATACACCACTTCTTAGAATACAATATTCAAATTTTGAAAATTTTCTTTGAACATTATTTAATTGGTTACATGAGATGGCCAAATGGTTGAGCAGTTAAGGTGTTATCACTCTGAAGACCTGGAACAAATCTAGATAAGTCAAAGAGTCTCAGAAATTTTTTGTGATGTTACTCATCTGAGATATATCTGGTCCCTGTCCCTCACATCCATCCACAATGGGATGGTTGGATGTGAGGGACAGAGCATATCTAAATAATCAAATTTCTTGAATGCAAAACTTATATTCAAGGTACTTTGATAATATAGATTCGACAGTTCGTCCTTTCAAAGTTCTTGAATTCAAGAATTTTAAAGTAAAATCTGTTCTACTAGATTCAAGATCTTGAATGCTCCAACCAGTCAGGTAAAGCATTTTTGTCACATGACAAAATGGCAATTTAGATACTGGAGAATGTGAAAAAGCCTTTAACTGAGGATCAGTTCAGATCTAATCTCTGAAACTCAGCCTTCAATTATTTTACAAGAGAAATAAACATATATGGAATAGCCACAGAATTGGCACATGCATTCTCATGCAATGTCAATGACATTAAAAAAAATGAAATACTTTGAGAACTCGGTATTGGCTGAATATTCGGAAATTTTTATATTTCAAAAAAAGTGGAACATTAACATCAGCAGTGTATTAATCCAAGGAGATATTCTAGAGATGATGCTAATGATGTGATGAATGACTCTGTTTATCATCATTATAATTTAACTAATGATTGAATAAAAGAAACAAATATTTATTGTGACAATGTCACAATGCTGGGCTGCAATTTTTAATCATATTTTTATTTCTATTTTTTCTATTTCTATTTTTATTTCTAGAAACAACAATAGAAACATGACATGGTTTCAAGTTATCAAATCATATTTTTAATTTATTTAATTTAAAATATATGCTGTCCACTTCAAATTAGTAGTGGCTTGCCTGTGTACATCAACTTTTCCTTTAACAATAGTCGTGTTGATCAGCTATTAATTGCTTTCAGGGGAAAATTTTGAATTGAAATAACATAACATGACTTCCAGTTTGCATCAGCAGTTTATGTATAGTTAATTGGGGCCTCCTGCCCCTATGGTTTCCATATCTGATCTCATGTTTCATTTATCTAACTCCATTCTCAAGATTAAGGAAAGACAGATAGATGGACAACAGTGGGAATTTATTGTCTACAATTTTTTCAAATTGCAGCTCAATTACATATGGTTTTTTTCAGACATTATGCAAAATTTAAAATTATTTTTTATAAACATTATTACATTCAATATTTTTATTTTAATTCTCAGGTGGATGGAAATTATCATGGAACTCGAGAATTTGTGAGTATTCTAAAATGAATTACTTATTACATTTAAAATCAAGTAGATAATTTAGTAAAAATATTTTATCCCATAGCTAATTGGACCTCCAGGACCAGCTGGTCGACCAGTGAGTAAATATTTTTATTTATTAATTTCATTTATTACTGTTACATTTATTGAATAAAATAACTGATTAAATTAGGGAGCCCCAGGCATTCAAGGACCGCCAGGAATTAAGGGTGAGAGAGGAACTGATGGACAAAAAGGAGAGATGGTATATTTTTATGAAATTCCTTAATATTATGATTCTCTAAAAGATAAAGTGTAAAATTTTCGTTTTCTGTTTTGTAATAAGGGAGACAAAGGAGAAAAAGGTGAAATGGGCCCAATGGGATTGCCAGTAAGTAATAAACTTATTTTCAACTATATCTGTAATACACTCTCACTGTTAACTAAATCAATATAAATATTGATTTGATGTTAACAATGACTTGAGAGTTTAACATAGAAAAAAAGTTAATTAACAAGCACTATCATTATATCTGATTCATAAATGTAAATCGATTTCTAGCCACTTGTCATTTAATTTTGGATACAAATGAACAGGTTTGAATGGTTATATATATATAGAAAATAAATTCTTAAATTGTACTATAAATTTAGTTTATATTAATAATAATTAAAATCTTAAGGTCTAATTGAAATTTACAAATGAGCAAAGCATTGACATTATTTTCCATTTTGCGTATCACACATTATTCAATATGTATCACTTCTGTTTACAGTAAACAGAAGTGATACATATTGAATAATGATAATTACATTATTCAATCCTTCTTCTAATTAATTCTAGATATTTTAACAAAGCAGACAAATGGCTGACTGCCAATAATTGAAAAATTAAATGGAAGATATATAATGATCTTTAAAATAGTTATTTAATGTCAGTGAAAAAGTAGAGAGAAAGACATTAAATTACACATTATGTTCTCACATTATAACATTAACTGATTTCAAAATATATTATCCTAATTTTATAATCAGTTAATGAGAATCAATCCAGGTTGATATCTTAATCTTTCTAGTTTTTAGTACATCTCATTAGTTCAAACTTGCCAAATGAAAAGAATTTTTATTTGACAAGTAAGTAATGGGAAGTAATTAAAACTAATGATCTGCATTCTATCTGAAGAATTTTGATTTTATCTTCTTTTGGCTCTGTTTCTTTTTCTACCTTTATTTTAACTAAATTCCTGCAGATTGAAATGTACTTTCTTAAGAACTAAGTACAGTACTTTAAAATACATTTTAAAACTATTAAATTTATTTTTATTTTAAACTCATTCAATAAAAAGATTTTATAATAAAATTGCCATTTTTATTTAAAAAATCAATTTATAAAAGAATTTTTATGGATACATTCTTCATGAGGAAAATCATAAAAATAAAACAAGATACAGAAATTAAATTTACTAAATAAACATTATACAGACTTCTCCGAAAATCAGTTAACTACATTTTATTTCATGTGTGTCCAAGTACATTTGTAAATATGATTCATAAATTAGTTGTGTTTTTCCTTTATGAAATTGGCACAGAAAGTTACAAAATAAGACACTGGCTTAGTTTTTACAATGGTTGACTTTTTGCCACATTATATACATTTTCAAGAAACAAATTTATTCTTCTACTTTAGAATACTCTATTTTTAATGTTATTGTATTTTGTTTTTTGCTTGATTTACCGGAAGAAGGCTTTTAAATTAAGGGCATGAAAATAAAACATTTGTTTTATTTTCATGTGCTGGAAACTTGAATATGTCAATGTATTTGTTTAACTATGGTTCTAGTTAGTTCTTTTTAGTTCAAAAAATTGTTAAAAATTAAGAAAAAAATTATTTTAATGAATGAGAAAAAATTAATATGCATGGGTTTATTAATTTTGAGTAATAATGAACTGAATGAAAAAATAAATTTTATTAGAACCAAAAACAAATTAATGAACTCATCAATCACAAAAATTCACAGTATTGATGACTGGTTTTTAAATAAAATAGAAATAATATAAATTTAAAAAATATGATTATTTATTATTTAAATCCCTTTCTATATTTATATCTTCTTTTAATTATAGATAAATTTAATCATTTCAATTAATTCAGATAATTTATTAATGGTAAATAATTGAATTGCTATTGCTGTTAAAAATAAGTAAATTATTTATAATAATCTAGTTTAGTAAATCTTCACTCCCATCTCTTTTCTCTTTGTTTTTAATTTTGAGATTTAATTATATTCTGTATTTTGATGTAATAAATTTAATACTTTCTCTTTATAAAAATAATATTTCATAATTTTTAATTCAACGTCTAATTAAAATATATTACTGTCAGTACAGAATTTAAGAGTTCAAAAGTCCTTTGTTAAATGTGTCCTGAATTAGATAGCAGATGAATGTTTCAAGTTTTCTCTTATCTAAAGCTGAGAGAAATTTCAAAAAATTTTAATCGTTATTTAATTTAGGATTTTTTTAAAGTAAAGAATTGCTTTGAACTTTTAAATTAAGGAAAAAAGAATTGAAGATTGGAATATGTTATGTAAAATCTTTCTTACAATATTTATAATTGTTTCAAGTTTCTAAAGAAATAAATAAAAAGGTTATTAAAAATGTCCAAGCTATTATTATATTTAAACTTAAAGTTAAAAATAAAAATATTTTTAGCTTTAATAAGATCAGTCATACATTCTAAAATAATAAGTAAATAATAGTGTTATTCATTTCTGGGCATTTGATTTTTATCTACGAATGTAATTTAGCAATATTTTATTAAATATGTGAAAAAATAAATAAATATTTATAAAATTATATTGAAAATATATACAGATGTAATATTTTTTTTTTCTATGTTAAGGGTCCAATGGGTTTACGTGGAGATCCTGGAATACCTGGAAAAGATGGCAAAATGGGATACAGAGTGAGTATTTAATATATCTTAAAAGATAAATTGTGTTAAAACTAATAAAAATATATGTATATATTTTATATTGTTTTATTTTTTTATATTAAATTTTATAAATATATTTTGTCATTATTGAATCATTTATTTATTAATCATTGTTGTTTGTTTAAAAATATAATGTAAAACTGAGCTTCAAAAATAACAAAAGTCAAGCTTTATTGGAGTATCACAAAACATTCATACCCAAATACTTATGTTTTTGGTCATCATTAAGAATAACACTTCAAACAATATACTATAGTTACAAAATATTAAAGAATAGTTTTAAAGTTTTAATGTACAATATACTGTTTCATTAATACGTAATACTCCGATAAAGCATGACTTGTATAAATTTTTAAGTTAAATTAGAGTTATAGAAATGTTTCTGTTATTAGTGTTATTAGTGATTACAATGGTTAAAAAAATAAACTTTTTTTTTCTGTTAAAATATATTTATAAGATTTTGTTGCTTGCAGAATACAATACATATTTATACAATGTTTATTATTCTATTAACATTAAAAACAAGGGATAAAAAAAATCACAAAATCAAAAATTTTAACTTCATTATATTATTAAAAATTTATATAAATTTATTGCTGAATTAAGAGAGAACTCCTTCAAGTTTTGCATTCCATGTGGTGGGATAATCCTGAATGAAATGGACTAAGCACTTCAGGAATATGAACTCCTGATAGGATCACTCAAGATGTGATGGACAGACATCCCAATCACTTCTGTCTAACTAAAGCATATGAACAAATATAGGAACAAATATAGCTGAGGAGTGGTGAGCCAGCTGCATTAATCAATCAAAAACTTATTAGAATTTTTCAGTTACATTGTATATGTAGTTTTTTTTAATAAAAATAAAAATTACAGGTAATTCTGAATATTCTGGTCAGTGAATGATGGTCAGCTAGAGACTTATTAATGATAAAATTCAAAATTACAAAAAATTGATTAAATTATCAAATTTAATTAAAATAAAAAATATAGTTCAGTTTTTATAAATCAGTTACTTATTTTTCAATTTAATTAATAACTATTTAATTCTTTTATCCAGTTCTAGAGACAATATTGTCAAATGGTCTATCAGATTAAGGCAAATTTAATATAACCCAATACAATTATTTGGCAATACTAACTGAACTGGACTGTCATATATCATATGTTACTATTGTGGTTGGGTAACACCTCAACAGTGCTATACCTTCCTAGCTCCCAGCTGAAAGACAAATCTGTTAGCATAAAATATTATGTAAATTGCTAACATACAAATTGAAGGAAGTCAGATGCACACCTTTTTTCAATGTTCATCACATTATAGGTTAATATGAAATTTTTTAACGAATATACCCAACAAATGCACTTTTTTTGATCCAATTAATTCATTTCACTAGTAAGTGTAAAATTTTAAAATATGAAAGGTTAAAAATATATAATACCATATGTAACTGTGTTATTTCAATTGATGCAAAAGGCTAGATAATAAAACCATTGTTGCATCAAAACACATCATTTTCTCCCATCTCCACTATATAATTGTGAATGGCACCTTTTGCTGATGCCCTTTATTGACTGTTGCCAATGTTGACAATTTATCTATTTTGTAGCTAGATCCAACGATTTTCACTTTGCATTTAGCTATCAAAAATTATAACTTTTTTTTATTGTCAAGATAGTATTTAGCTAGTTTTTCCATTTTCCTGTAGCTACAAACACATTTTTTTTGGTGTTAATATAATACTTTATATATAACTACATTTGCATTACAAGTTAACTATTTTTATTTGGCTGCTGTTGGCAGCTGGACCTGCCAACAGCAGCCAAACTACATGCTGGAAATGTTAATTTGTGTAATGCTTGAAGATTGTTACAGTGGTTCATCAATTTTTTTTTCCCCTGTGTGAACAAAATGTCAACTGTATTGAAACATAAGTTGATGCAGATTGCTAAGGAATATTCAGAAGCAATATGCAGCAATGGGTCAGTTCTTTTATGCAATATATGCAATTGCAGGATAAAAATGGACTCAAAGCAAGAGTTAAACAACATTTTTTTAAAGAAAAAAAAAACCCATTCTGTATTTGAATTGTGTTCTGAAGATGAGACAAAATGTTTCAAACGAACATTTAAAAGCTTCAAAAGACTCCTTAACTCTTAACATTTTTAATATTTATAAAATATTTTTAAAGAATTGAAAATGAGAGGTATTATTAATAAATGTTATTCTCTATTTAATAATTATTTAATATCAAAAAGTTATTAGTTGTTTAATATATAAATAAGTGTTATCAGTTAAATTTAATTATAAAATTGCCATTTTTATTTAAAAAATCAATTTATAAAAGAATTTTTATGGATACATTCTTCATGAGGAAAATCATAAAAATAAAACAAGATACAGAAATTAAATTTACTAAATAAACATTATACAGACTTCTCCGAAAATCAGTTAACTACATTTTATTTCATGTGTGTCCAAGTACATTTGTAAATATGATTCATAAATTAGTTGTGTTTTTCCTTTATGAAATTGGCACAGAAAGTTACAAAATAAGACACTGGCTTAGTTTTTACAATGGTTGACTTTTTGCCACATTATATACATTTTCAAGAAACAAATTTATTCTTCTACTTTAGAATACTCTATTTTTAATGTTATTGTATTTTGTTTTTTGCTTGATTTACCGGAAGAAGGCTTTTAAATTAAGGGCATGAAAATAAAACATTTGTTTTATTTTCATGTGCTGGAAACTTGAATATGTCAATGTATTTGTTTAACTATGGTTCTAGTTAGTTCTTTTTAGNTAAAATTAAATAAATGTTGAATATTTTATACACACTGTCTGCCTACCACTGGATAGGGAATATTGATATCCAAACAAAAACAACTGAAATGTGAAAAAAATTGCACCAAGTAAATACAACTATTTAGGCGACAGGTTAAATTTTTTTTCTTTGGTAAAGATAAGCTTGGCACTTGAAGTGGTATCCAGAAGATTTTTACCTGTATTATTATTTTCTACATTTGCTTCCAAGTGCCAAATTTATCTTTACCAAAGAAAAAATATTAAGAAAAAAAATGACTGTCATCTAAATACTCATAAGTATTAACTTGGCATAACTTTTTACATCACACATGTTTTTGTTTAGATTCAATTGTTTTTGGTTAATGATTGTATTATTACATCAAGCAGTGGTGTCAAGATATGTTGCTGGGCCTGTGGAAAAAATTTATATGGACCCCAAGTAAATAAATTATTTGAAAATTTATTTTGATTCATATCATAGATATATTACTTTTTGCAAAATAAAGAACAATAGTTATTGTTACACTTTTTATATTACAATAGTGCTTAAGTAGTAATTAGCATGTAAAAAAAACAAATTATTAATTGATGTCCTGCCTCTATGAATACCAGGAATCTCCAATTTGTATCTTGCAGGTCGATATGGCCCTTTAAGCAATATATACCTAGTCCACATAGCTTGTTTTTACTTACATGTTTTATTATTAACATTTGAAGTAGTTTGGAGCATATACATTTCAGAAAAGTCAACTAGAATTAATAGACTTTGTTGCAAATTATTTTTATAAAAACTATTTAAAAAAGTTTAAAGATTTAGCAAAGGAGTTTGTTAAATTTTTGCAAATCTCTGCCAGAAGAGAATTTCAAAAGTCTTAAGAAGTTTGGAATATTTTCTACTTTTTCTTCTATGTACTTTGTAAACAAATGTTTTTGAAAATGAAATATATAAACTCAAAATATTGAGCAACACTATCCAAAGAATATCTAAAGGAGATTTTAATATTTGTGGCACAAGGTTTATCCTCAATTTTGATGACTTCTTTTTTAAAAAGCAGTTGCAAATTTCATATTGGTTTATGTCCATTATTATTCAGAAATAAAAAAATCTTAATCTTTGACTATTTCTTACATATCTGCCCCTTACTTGTTTTACAGTTCATGTAGTCATTCTCGGAAATAGGTTGTAGATTCCTTGTCCAGTCTAAACAAGGCACCCTGTAGTACCAACTAATCCTTGCCTTCCAGCAAACAGAGGACTATTGTTAACTTTGTTATCCATGTCAAAAATTTTGGCTTAGACATGAGAAGCAGTTCTAAACTATAACTTAAGTCTATAACTTTGGTCAACATCATACCAAGATGTCAAATGAAAATGGAGCTTCTGAGAATTAGCACAAGGAGTTTGGTGACACTACAAACCTATCATGCTTCTTGCACTATCAGCTCACTGCATCATGAAGTCTTAGTCTCAGTGTTGGCAATCTCCTTATACTACTTCTCAAGAGTTCTATTTCATTTGATCTTCCTGTACTTTACATAGATCAAGATTATAGTGTAAGGCAGTGTTTTTCAACCTGTGGGTTGCGACCCCCGGGGGTTGCAAACCCTTACACGGGGGTCGCAGGTAGAAGAAAAAGACAAGTGTTTGTAGGCCCTACACTACATTAAAAAAACTACAATTTTTTACTTTATGTGTGTTAAATTATTAAAAACAAGAACTTATACTGGAATGAATAAATAATATAAATAAAATAAACCTTAAATATCCAGCAATAAAAAATGTTTAATAAAAACGTTTTCAACCGTTTTTAAATGGCCATCTTCAGTTGAATCAATATTAAAAAAGAACACTGAAAAGAACGCATGAAATACAAATTAAACAGAAACCGAAATGCGCATGCGTACTTCATCGGACTTGTGTCTTCTGAAAATCTATAAATAACTTGCAAATAACATAAAAAAATAACAAAGCCGCCAAAAAAAGGGGGGGAGAATATACATTGATTACAAGGTGTTAATCTGCGTTATTGTAAAAGGATTTCCAGGCATATGATAACCCTTCTGCATCTCTATGATTAATGCATCCCTTATTTATGTGTGCCTTGTGTATCTCTATCTTTTCAAGATGTTTCAATGCCTGTCTGGAATTCGTGGCTCTAATGATCGAGGCTTGATCCCAATATACCTCGACCTCTTGCTGTTTGGCAAATGCTGTGAGCACTGTGGCATCTATGTTGTTACTCACAGAGTATTTATGTTCCTTGAGTCTTTGTTTTAACTGCCGCATAGTAGCACCCACGTAAACAAGGTCTGAGTTGAACCACTGATCCTTTATAGGTATAGAATAAACTCCTGGTAAATTATTTCGCTTTTCCTTTCTCTTATCGTTTCTTAACATTCTGAAGATGGCCGTTTAAAAACGGTTGAAAACGTTTTTATTAAACATTTTTTATTGCTGGATAGTTAAGGTTTATTTTATTTATGTTAAATTATTGTCGATTCTTCTGAAATTTTCATTTTAATCAACAATAATTTGTCTCAACAGAAAGAAAATTAAATACATAGTTTTTAAAATCACTGATATAGTTTTAATATGGCCCTAGGGGGTCGCCAGAATTTTTTAACTTGTAAAGGGGTTGCATATTCAAGAAGGTTGAAAAACACTGGTGTAAGGAAATCTAAACTCTTCCAAAAACATAGTAAATAATAAATAGCTTTGATATTTGCATATACCATGATTATTTTTTGAAGAAATTTATTTTAGGCTAAGAAAATAATAATAATTCAAATTATAAAACAAATACTTTGAATATTTCAAAAATAAAAATAAATTTTGATTATCACATACACAGAACCAATTTACGGTGTGGTACGACGAAAAATAACGAAAAACAAACGTTTTCGAACCCCTTCTGGACTCTTCATCAGGTTCCTACATTTGTTTGTTTTTCGTTATTTTTCGTCGTACCACACCGTAAATTGGTTCTGTGTATGTGATTATTATTGAGGTGTGGTGAGTAGTTTGTTTTAAATTTTGATTATTAAAATTTATTAATAATTCTATAAATTTCCATTCTAATGTTCTTTTATGTGCCATCTATCACAGTGATAGATTGTTGGAAAAATTGTCTTAAATTAATATTTGACATTAAAATCTAAAAGTTACATGATAAATATAAAAGCATTAATTATTGTTTCTATTCTGTTTTAAACAATGTGAAACTTAACTAATAATCTTGCAAAAATCTTTAAATATGTCACTTTATCAGAAGTTTGTTTCTCTATCATTAATATTCATATGCAGAATTAAATAGATTAACTAATAAATATTCAAAAACCTTTAAAATTCAACAGGAAAACTTTATTAAAAGTAATGTATTTAGTTTTTTTAAACACCAAAATATTAGTTTAACAACAGGTTACTCTAACATCTAATAACATTAGCATAAACATTAACTTATACATTGTTTATTGATTATGCCTAAGTTTAATAACAGGTTACTTTAATGTTTAACCTGAAAATGATCTTTAAAAAAGTCATAAAAGTTATTTAATAAACTGTTTCTGCTGAATTTTTATGGGGTTTTATTTAACTTATTAAATATATTCAATACAACTTAAGCTTTAATGTGGAGTAACTATAAAAATCTTGTTCAATTTTAAACTTTAATAACTTTGAATGTACACAAAATAAAAATACAGTACATTGTAAATAGCATATAAAAGTTTAATTCTTAAAGTTTCACTACATCTTTCAGTTGTTAGGAACTTCAACTCTATGTATGAGCTACAACATACAGTTAACCATTTTTTCCACTTTTGCCATTTCTACTTGGCTAAAGAATTAAATGAAATGAAAGTAAATTAAAGTTAATTCACAAAAAATAAACAACAATAATGTATAAAATCTTTTGAAATTTAGCTATCATATGCCATTTACAGTGTATTTTTAACACATACATCCAAAGCTATTAAAAATTATAATTGCACAAGGACTTTACAAGCACCCAATATAAACAGAATAATGTAGTATCAATATATGATAGTAAATATATTAATAAAATAATGAGTTACTTTATTTAGTTTTTAACAAAGAAAAAAAGCAGTTTTAAAATAGAACTTTTCACCCGAAACAGTTATAAAACTTGGAAAAATTATACAAAAGTTAAAACATTAAATTGAATTAAACAAAAAAATAATAATGAGATCCTTAAGCTATAATAAACAGTATTTTAATCTTTTTGCATAATTCTAATTATCATATTAACATTATACTTAATATGCATGAGCATTTTTCATTATATGCTAATTTTATAGCCATATAATTAATTTATAATAGAAATAAATAATAACCTAATTTATCATTCTATTTCTAATGAAGTTTTTAATACCCTTTTCTTCTCTAGATACTTATTCATGTATAATGAAGATTATCTTAGGAATACAATAAACCTAATTGATGTTTTCTCTCCATACTTTTCAATTAATAGCATGAAATGGTGGTGGGAGCTTTGTATTTAGAATAGTGCTTAATTGTGTACTTTAGATGTTAAATTTATTTATTCATTTTCTGTTTAATATTAAATTATCTATCTCTTTTTGTAATAATCTGATGTTAGGGTCCTCCTGGTCTGGATGGAATGAAAGTAAGTACTAGAAAGTCAAAATTTTCATTTTTGGTCGTTGAATATGCTTTAAAGCTCTGTTTATTTAATATTTTAGGGTGAACGTGGAGAATTAGGAAAAAAAGGCGAGAAGGGTGAACCAGGTCTTCCGGTAAACATTATTATGATGTTATGAGATAGCTTTTAAAGTCTTTCAGTGTTACATGTTTTGAATAACTATGAAATTTGACTTAGTAATTGAAAACCTAAGTTAAATTCTGAAGATAGAAAGTGATAACTGTTGGGTGATGAGTTCACTTTATGGTTGTTGAAAGAGCAACAGGTACTGGTAGATTTGGATTATTTATGTAATGCAACATTAAAATTATATAATTTTCTACACCAACAATTCTCAACCGAGGTGTGCGCTTGGTGGTTTAGGGGTATATGAAGAAAACTTAATAATGGCGGATATACTATAAGAATATTCAGATTCTGCATTGATGCCTTTGGCAACGTCATATAACTTGAATTCAATAAATTGATCTTCTGAGTTTTAAATATATATGTACAATTTATTATTAGTTTCTTTTTTTATTAACCAATTTCAAAGAGCAATGGTGTGATAAGTAGAAAAGTAGATAAAACACTAAGCACCAAACATTTGTACCTATATAGATAACTTTTTAATCTTCATCAATTCAGTGGCCCTGTGCACCTTCCTTGCAACATCACTGCTATTTATTTACAGTTTCAATAAGTTTAAAATACAACTGTATAAAGTACAAACATTTTTCTAATATAACGGATAAATTTAGGAAAATGAGCTGCCAAGGGGTATGCAAGTCAATAAAAGATTGGGAACTGCTGTTCTATACCATCTCTTGAAACTTTTGATAGTTGATGTTATCAGACGTTTTTGTGTGTAGAAAGCTATACAATCTCAATGTTGCCATTACATAAATACTCCAAATTCATTGACAACTATTCAGTTTTGTTTGCTCAGCTGATGGATTATTGAGTCAAGTTTGGCAGATTAATCATTTAAAATTATCATCCAATAGTTTCCATCCCATTTTTCCATCTTTAACATTTTTGATATTGATTAGATGTTCATTTCATTAAAACAAAAAAAATATTTAAAATAATTTCAGAATTTTATATTTGTTTAATAAATTTTGATTAAGAAATTTTCTCATGACCAATATTTTAAAATATAGGATTTACAAAATAATTTAAATTTCTTATTTTTAATCAGTTAAATAAATTATCAAAACTAAATCTAATTACAATCTTTCTTAATCTAACATACATAGAATATTTTATTATTTTATTGATAAAAACTATGCTGTTAATTATATAAGTAATAAAATTTTGATTTATATCTTTTAGGGTACAGATGGTATTCCAGGCTTGTCGGTAATTGTTTCCCTATTTCCAAATGTTGATGTTAAGCAACTAACACTTTCCTTACAAAATTGCTCTCTGATTTTTTAAAACTTTTCTGTTATCTTTGCTTATAGTTCTTTCTGTTTGATGAATGTTTTATCTTGTTTTGTGGTTGTGAACATGTGATGATTATAAATTCATTTATAATTATTTATTATTGACTTTACATTTGTAATTAATAGGGTTCTAAAGGTGAACCAGGAGATCCAGGACAATTGGTAATAACTAAAATATTATGGCCAATGTTGATTTTAATTATTTGTTAGCAATTTAACGTTTTTATTTATCTTTATATACTTGATTTTATTTTTAAAGGGGCCAAGAGGTAAAAGAGGAAAGCGAGGTGAAAAGGGTGATAAAGGTGATCAGGTAAGTCCATTTTTTAAGAGAACATTATGAATCAACTTGAGAAAGGAGATCTGTGGTGTAGACTTTCTGTCAGGCCATGGCTTTTAACATTGCCAACAATAATTAATAGTATTCAATTACTGGTACTTTCCAGAAGGCAACAATCAGCACAAAGAGTAGTCTAAGTCATGATTACAGTAACACTTTATTTATATAATTGGCCCTATAAATTAAAAAATGTTTAAATGAAATTCTAAATGAAAAATTTCTAACTAATTGCAATAAATGTAACAATATTTTACATTAATATACTGAAGCGTTTCTGGAATAAATTCGCTTAAAACTTACGCATTTAATATAATAAGTAATCGGAAAGAAATCTATAAAAGTTTATTATTATATTATCTGCCATTTAATGTCTTACTACTGTTAAATTAGGTTTGATATAAAAATATTTTCGATTGCCTTCAGATTCAAAATCTACACATTGCATTAAACAAAATAAATATATGTATCAATATAACGATATCATAAGATATGGCTATATGTATTCATAGGAATCTTCCATTAGTAGATTATAACATGAAATGNTATATTTTTTTTATTTTTTACTTTTTCTGTACTGTAGGCATTAAGGGCTCTTTTCATGCCCAGCATTTGTTCAGGCAGGCTCATAACCGGTGTAGCTCCCAACGCATACAATTGTGGCAGGGAACTTGATAAAATTACTTATACAAAACCTATAACAACAATAAAAGGGACAATACAACCTAGATTGTATGAAGTATTCACCAAATACCTTTCCTTCTTTTGCATAACAACTCCGAACAGTCTTGTGTATTCACCAAAATTGAAAATAAATAGTTCATCCAGTTGAATCTAGTTGTAGTTACAGTTTATAGTGTGTCTACCGATGAAATATTGCAAACAATATTTGATGGAAATGGATTCACAACTTGCTTCATTCTTTTGCTTCTACATAGACTCTCACACAACTGCATGTTAACTTGTTCTCACCCACAGTCCAACCACTTCAGCTGCAAAGGGGAACACATGAAAAGAGAGCTCACAAATGCTGGGGAAGGTCTTAAAAACTCTCCTTGAAGGTTAGGAGGAGTGAGCAGCAACCCCTAACGTGAACCAATTCGTGAAAACGAAAATAAAAAAAAAGCAAAAACAACAAAAATAAACAAAAAGTGGTGTGATAATACCACAGAGGTAACCAGATGTAACAAATGGGGTCTGATATATCTGGGTCTGGGTCAAATCATCTGTGTAAAGACACAGATAATTTGGCCCAGACCCATTTAAAATTCAAACTGGAATAAAACCACAGTCCCTTGAATAGTAGACTAATGCCTTTCTGGCTATTCAGCCAATTTAAATATTTCATTGTAACAACTGAACTTCCTATCAAATACTGGAGGTAATATACCTCCTTCTACCATTTAAGCAAACGTTTTCGACCCTACCAGGGTCAAAAACGTTTGTTTAAACGAGTATCACTGGAGATTTGGAAGGTTTTTATACAGGTATTTCATTGTAACCTATTCTTTTAAAGTGATGGTTTAATTCTTTAAAATTTAAATGTTGAATTTTAAACATATGGGAATATTTTCATTTTGTCAGAGTCAGAGCATAAAAAGTCATTTAACTGAAATGATTTTTTATTCACTTATATATCCTAACAATTTCTAATTTTATTATTAATATAAATGGCTTGTTAAATTAGCTCCTTGAAAACTAATACATTCATTGACTGAAAAGTTGTGCGCCAAGGCAGAGGCTCTGGAATCAAATGAAACTATATTAGTCCCAACATAATGATGATGGTAATAACTGATTATAATATTGTAGAAAAGAGACAATTTCCTATGGAACAATGGTATACTTTAAAGAAACCTTTAGTATCTTGTAGAACCTTCTCTTGCATAGATACATATGGAGATAAGATAGAATACAAACGCTATATGCTATTTTAAAACAGATTTTCCCTGTAGATTTGCAATTGCCACTCTAGATTCCTCACATCTGTAGATGGCCAAAGCTGGCATTTAATCTGGTTCCATAAATGCTTGATGGGTTGCAAATCTAGAGACCAACAAATTGTGACAATATGATGGAGATATTCCTGGGAAACTGTGTGTGGTCCTGCTATGAAAAGCAACATGAGGACAGGATTTCTTAAATGTATCAATGTGCCTTGTACACCACTGCTAGGAGTGACCAATTGTTATATGATATGGCTCCCCAGACAAAGCACATCAACAGTGGGGCAGCAACTGACTCAGCAATTAGAATTGATGCACTCACTAGTGTCCTTGTTCTCCACACTTGTAACATTGTGATCATCTATTTTCAGACAGAATTCAGACAGTGGTATTTCCCACTAAAGATGATAATATATCATCTTTAGTGGGAAATACCACTAAAGATGATATATTATCATCTTTAGTGGGAAATACCACTAAAGATGATAATATATCATCTTTAGTGGGAAATACCACTGTCTGAATTCTGACAGTCAGTAGCATCTACCCTTTTCTATCATAGCACCACTGCAAACAACATTGACAATATTGAAGTGTTAATGGTAGAACAGTGATTGCTGTGCATGCAAATTTGCTTCAGCTAGTCACTTGCCAATGCTATGAGAAGAAACTGACTTTTATAGCAAGGCATCAAACTGTCTCCACATAATGGACAAAGATGTCAACACAACTATTTGTACTTGTCTGATGATCACACAATCATCTTTCCTGATGAGGTCTGTCTGGAGCATCCAGTCTGCCTGCTATGTATGTGTGCAAGAGCATTGCCAGCCAATAGGCCAGGGGAGCAAGATGATATAAATTGATAGAGGATATGAATTGTATGTAGGTAAAATAAAAACGATTCATAAAGTTTTAATCATTTACTATGTACCGGAGAAGAAATATCTTAATTAAAACATTTTTTTTTTAAACTTACAAGAAGCCTAAGAAGATTATTTTAATTAAAACTTAGCATTTAAATAATTTTTTCAAATTTCTAGGTGGGCAGCTGCCCCTCCTGCCCCCTTGTATGTGTGTAATGTAATATGAATGCTATGTAATGTAAATAATGTAATGTAATGTATAATGTAATGTAATGAAACAGTGAAACACCTCAAACCTAATGATGCAGTCTTCTCAAATTTTCTCAGCTGTCCATAATGTCTTCGACTGCATTGTACAGGTATACCAGGAGTTCAGAGAGTGACCTTAAAACAACAAGTACACTGAAAATTTTGAACACAGTGAGTCTCTGCAAGTTTTTGTACAGGATACTGAAATAGCAATTTTTAAGTACTCTGGTTGCATTACTTGGCTTGCAATTGGACCACAACTATAATCTTTTACATGCCTGTCTGAGACATGTCTGATTACTGCAAAACAACATACAGCTAATTCTGACTGGGTGCATAACTTTTTTTTGTCAATTAGTGTATTTTGAAAGAAAAAATTATATAGTTTTGGTTTCTTTAATAATTTTAGAAATTTAATAAAATGTAAATACCTGTTTTTATCAGATTGATAAGAAATTTTATATAAAATGACGTCTGAAGTTATTCAACTAGAAATATTTTAATAAGAAACATAAACAAGCTTAAAGATTAGCATAAATAAATCATTAACATTGTATTTCCTAACATTTTTGAACATCACACTTCATCTTCAAGAAGAAAATTTTCTTTTATCTTCTAAAAAGTCTTTACATTTAGCAAGTAATTATAATTAAATGCAATAAAAAATATTTGCTATTTATCAGTTACAATTCAAGTTCAAAGTATAAAAGAAAGAATAAAATGAATGGGTTATTGATTGCTCAAATTGTTTTTGTTTTATATCTTGAACCTGGAGATAGCTAATAAATGCAAACTAAACATTTGTTGTTAATTATAATTTATTGATGGATTAAAAATTGATGATGATAATATTTAAACTAGGGCATGATAAAAAAAAACTACAATCATATTGATATATTTGATCTATTCCAACCATATAGTTTTATTTAGTCTTCTGTACTTCTAATCTTTCTTACAAAATAGAAATCATAAATAGAAATTTTGAGTTCTCTTTACAAAGCTATCTAATTTTGAAATAGTTTAGAAAACTTTAGAAATTTTAAGTTCTTATTATATTTTATACTGAAAATTTTTAGAATCTATAACAAAAACAAATTTGTCTTCTGAAGATGAGCTATGATGCTTGAAAACACTTAGAAATATTTAATTTCTGTGTAATTTAATTCCATTAAAGCATCTGTAGTTACATAAGTAGACTGTTGTAATATAAAAACAAATTTTAGATCTTTGAATGATTAATTTAATGAATCTAATATTCAGTTCCTGTTTTTTAGTTTTCTAAACTTGTTCTTTAAATTATTGATTTAATAATTTATAGTCCAAAAAGTGGATTGTTTTTTGTAATTATAGAATATTATTACACATTTTTTTTTACAAAATATTATAAGAAGCATTTATTTTATGTTCTTATTTTAATTACTATTCTTTTTATATCATGTTAATGCCTTCTTCAACAAATTATGAAAGCATTATTCAATAATGGAGTATCTTATATGTAAAAAATGTTAAGTTATTAGAAAATTAGTAATTAATTATTACATATTTTTATTCATATTTAAATTATAGTATAAGCTATCTTGAAAGAAATAAACAAATATAATTTTTTATTACATTTTTGTAATTGTTTGAAAACAAGTTTCAGGAATAAATAAAACCTGAATTTAAATAAAAATTATTCTTTTAAAGTTCAGCATTCAAAATATTTAAATTACACTGGTTAATTATCATAAGGGCTGGTTGCACAACTTTTAATATACTATATTAGATTATTTTAACTTGTATACTATTTCAAGTACAAATACTATAAGTATTTTTTCAAGACAGATTGATCTTTATTTGTTAATTTGTTTAGCTTTTTTTTTTTTTCTTTCTTTCTTTTTTAAAGCTTTTTCTGTTGTTGAGGAAGATACACGATGGCACTTCCAAATTAAAAATAGTCAATTTTCTCAATATAAAATTATGGAAAAATTGTAATTTTAGAATGTACATTCAAGATTTTGAGATTAAATTTTAAAGTCACAAAAAAAAAATACTTTTTAAATATTGATTTTGAATAAAACAAACACATCTGACACCAAATAATTTATAATCATGTCTGTTAGAATGCCCAATAATTTACAACTAGCTTTGAATTAGATTCAATTATGCTTTTTGAATCACTGCCATGAGAAACATTATTTTTGTATATTATGTTACTTATTTCCTTCCATCATTCATATTTTATTTATCAAATATAAAATGTGATTGAAAAAAATGTTAATCTAATTGAAATAAAAGTTCTTAAATTTTCTTAAGTCAAACAAATGAGAGTAAATTAATATTTAACAATAATATTTTAATTTATAATATTTTTAATATATTAAATTAATAGATACTATCCTATCAAAGATTTCTGCTTAACTGACTGGATGTGGTCCTCGACAACTATCCATAGACTTGCCAAGAATTGGTATTGACTTGACTATATTTAACAACAAAAACAACATTAAATATTTCAAGTGTAATGAAGGAGAAATTCAACATCATGGCAACTCTTATTTTCAATAAATTCTTCTTGTGAAAATATAACACAAAATTATTTGCATTTAACTGATATGAATTATAGTATATGTTATGTTCCTCTAAAGTAATTTATTAAATATTTAGCAAATAAATACATGTATTTATGTATTCATCATATTAACTTAAATTGCAACTGTTGCTATTTTTAATTCTGTGTTTATCAATTTACATCTCAGTTTTTGGTTATATTTAATGATTGATTATAATTATTGTTATTAAATGAATATACTGTATTTTAAAGTTGTTATTGTGCATTTTAGTAGCTAATTTATATTCTTGATTCTATAATTTAAGAGAGAACTTGGATTAAATGTTTAAAACATGATATTTAAAAAATAGAACAATAAGATTAATGCTCTAAAGAATGATATGATCTGAAGGTGAAGCTGAGGATGTGTTGAAAATATTAATTTTAGAATTTCTGAAATGACTTGAATTGCAAGCTGACTTTTTAATTCAAGTAAAGAGGTGTAAGAAGTACTTATATTTGAGACATCATTCTCAAGTTTATAAGTAATTTATATTAGAATAAATAATGTAAACTTTAATTATCAGTTTTAAAAATTCATTTTTCTGATCAAGAATATAAATTTTGACAATGCAAAATTATTGAATCTAACTGTGATATAATCTTACAAACACTATATAATAGTTAAACATTCCGTTATTGGTTTTTGTGGACTTTTTAAAAAAATTAAAGCTATTGGCTTTTTTTTTCAGTAACATATCACACAGGGAATAGTTATTGATGGAGGAAATACATTTCAGGTCTTAATGACCCCTCTTCATTCCTTACTCTTTACAAAAGAAATGATAGATAAATAACACATCACAGATAATAATATAGATAATATTTTTTTAAAAATTTTTTACTCACATAGATGATTATTGATTACAAATTGACATTAAAAAACATTGGATAATTGACTGGATAGAATTTGTTTAAAAGGTTGCTGTGTAAGATAAAATAAAGTTAAATAAGTAAAAGAAATTATTAAGTAAATAAAATTTAAAACGTTTTCGCTATAAAATAGTATAAATTGTTATTACCTGTAGATGGACAAAAAATTATTAGGTGGATAATGTTTAAAAGAACCAACCAAAGGATGTAAAACAAATTTTTAAAACAAAAGTAAAATAAGTATTTAATGTTACATAGTGCAGATGCAGCCATAGAGTTTGGACCATTGTTAAGTTCATGGATGCATTTGCAGAATGTAGTCTTATTCTCACAGGAAGCCAGAATATCTTCACCAGATGGGGACCATCTGGGAGAGATGGGATGGGATGAGATCTCCTGTGGACACATGTCATGTAGAAGTGGCCTCCAGATCTCACCAATAGTTAGACCATTGTTTAAGTTCATTTTATCTTTTATTTTGATAATTTCTGAATGTTCAAATAATTTTCTTTTTATAATATTTTTTATTTTTTGAGTATTCTAATATTATTGAGTGAGATCTTGCAACCCTCTCTGTTACAATGTATGGCCACTACTAAATTAGTGTAATTAAATTTAATAGCACATAAATGTTCACTTAGTCTGATTTTTAGGGCTCTTCCAGTTTCACCTATGTATTGATAAGTCGCTTAGCAGCTGCAGGATATTCTATAAAATATAAAACTCTAAATACTATTATATAGTATTTAGAGTTCTGTGGACAATTTAGTTATTTGTTTATACTTATAAAATTTTTTGAAAGCCTTATTTGTCATTTGAGAATTAAAAATTTTGAACGTTATTATGAAATAAGCTAAATATAATAAAATTTAACTCTTTTTCTCATAAGTAATACCTTTCTTTTTCATGCCCATCATGAGTTCATTCAAGTTCACAATAAGAGCAGCTGGCTAATGAAAAACAGTGTCTGATATTTTTTTCTTAAAACTCTTTTCATTCAGTGAGCAAAGAAACAGAGCCAACATGTTCTGCAACAAGACCATCCATTAAAAATTTTCAAGATCCTTAACCTGGACTCAGGTCTCAGAGTAGCAAGCTGATGCAAGAAATTTTTGTGGATGCTTTGACTAGATATAGCTATACAGCCATCACATCTAGTCAAACTATCCACATAAATTTCTGGAATCTGAATGGGATTCAATTAAAAATCTTTCAGAATAGCAGAATACCTTTACTGGCTCACTAATAGCTAAACTGTTTTGATTTATAAACTGTTAAGTTTGCTTAATCAACATGTTTGTTTTCCAATTAGAAAGGTATTCCTCATAATATGTAACTAAATTTTTAATAAAACTGATTAAGGAAATAGTTAGTTTAAAAAACTACATTATAATGAAGCAAGTAGTACAAAAATATAAAAAATCATCCATACATGATATAAAAACTTTACTGTAGACTGTATGTTAAATATTAAGCAGACACTTGTGATAATAGTTACCATATAACACATTCCTAATAATACTAACATAATATTTAGATTACCAGATATATTCTTTATATGACAATTACTATGACAAACTTCTTGGAGATATTTGAAAATAAGAGCTACTCAATATGAAATTAAGGGCTCTATTAATCTGTGAAGTTAACTTCCTGCAATTTTTATTCAGTTTTGAAGAAAAATAGCAAGAGTTGAGTTATATTTGTTATATAGAGTTATATAAAGGCATATTCCATAAATAGTAAATAAGAAATTTGATAAGATGAATCAGGTGGTTATAAACATAAATATAAAAAGAAATGTATGAGTGAACAAATTTTGATTGAACTGGTTTGTAAGTGTATTAACATACAGTTCATTTTTTTAATTTCCTTATTTACGTGAGAAAAGTTTTAGTTAAATTATCTAGCAATAATGTATATTTAAATTTTTTTCAGAATTATCTGACAGATAAATGAATAGAGTAAGCAATTATTTCTTCTAAAAAACACATCATATTTTTTAAGCAATGTATTATATAAATTATCCAGCACCATTGTTACATTCAAATGGGTTAAGGTATTTAAAAAAAATTAAAAAACAATCAATAAAATATAAGTGGAAAATGATAGAGTGAGGTCATGTATGATGGTGACAAGTTGACTTGTTATCTCTTAGTATCTAGTTTGTGCTGCTGTGACTCATTTTTTTTTTTTGTGTCAAATCCTTAATTAAATCAATTAATGTTTGCCAATGCTTATCCTGGGTTATTGAGAGCTGTATTACCTCACACTAAACTACCAGAGTTTTACTATACTTAGACATATTGCCTAGCATTTCATAGATCTTAAAATTTGGTTTACAGAATAACTTACCTTTTTTCTGGTCTTTTAATCAATTATCTAAAATATATTTTTCACATCTTTCTGTGTATATATGATACTGCCATCATTGTCTTATTTATTTTACATCTGTATACGGGCTGTTCAAACAAAACAAAATTCAAGTAAAATAGATTAAAGATATGCATATATATAAATCTTATTTTAATAGATGTACTTTACAAATTAATTCATATCTTATTATGTAAAACAAGTTTTATTAGTTCTTTATAATACAGAGGAATAATTAATAAATATTTAAATATTTTTTTCATTTAATAAATAAAATAAGTTAGATTATTTTTACTACTAAATTTCTATTTTTCATTTTGACTGCATTCATTAGTAGTTTTATGAATGTATTAATAAATTGTTTCTGAATCATACAAAATTAGAATATTTTAGTTTCATTGAAATTAATTTAATCATATTATTTTGAAAGATTGCTTTATCAATATTAAAACATTATTTATTACTTTATGTGCATTGTTCTTTAAAGTTTTACAACTTATTTGTTTTCATAGTTTCTTACAAATAAAGAAATATATGGAAATTTGATAAACATTAGAATATGGCTGGGAAGTTGTATGATAATATTCATCCATGCACAGTATTTCTACAGCAGTTAGCAGCAAACTTCCTCACTCAAAATGCTGTAATTTTTCTCACAATCTAGACTTGCTGTTGTTCAACTTGTATCTTCAGGTCTAAATCTACTGTATTAACTGAAAATGATAACTCTTTTGTAATGATTTTCATTTTCAACTTATGTTTTATCATGTTTAAAACATTTGAGAAATTAGTCAATTTAAAATAATAAAATTTAATAGAGCTACAGTCATCATCAGCACACCCCACCAGGACCACCTTAAATGGCTAGAATCCATAGCCATTTACAAAGCCGGCCAAATAGACAAGTGCGTCAACTAAAAGGAGGAGCTAAATCTGTCCCTGGCCTGGCAGTCCCTTTTAGATGCTGATCCATGGCTACCTTCACTAGCTCACGACCATGCATGTCAAACAAAACTGATTTTGGCAAAATGACATTCAATCCCGTCGAATTCCACATGCTCCATTCTGAAGCATTCCTAAGCTAGTTGATCTGAGAAAGAACTGCGAGATAGTTCAAAAACGTTTGTCACCTGCTGTATATTTCTTATACGCATTACATGCCGGTAACAGGTTCAGGGAAGACAGGATTTTACTCCAGTGCTGAAATTAGAGTGAACTTTGTAATTTAAAATACATTTCATATAACACAATTAAATAAAAATTTGATATTTTAATTATGATTTTATTTTATTGTTCATCTCTAAACATTATATCAATAGATTTTGCAGGAACACAACTTTCATTTTTATATTTTTATGTTTAATTAGCTGTTCTTCTTGCATTCATTTTAAACATCATTTACAATAACAGAGTTGTCGATAGGGATTGTAGATGCAAATTATCTGGACTTTGGCAAAGAGAAAATATTGGTTTACTAAAAAAGGAGCATTAAAATATTGTTATGGGACCTTGAATAGATTTAGGGCCTTGAACAGGCCCCTTTTGTCTATTTTTTTTCTTTTAACACATTACTTTCCTTCTTGACAGCCCTGTTAATAAATATTAGACTGTGTAACAAAAATCTCTTATTGCATATATTTTCATTGTTGTTAATTAAACTGTAAAACATGCCTCAAAATTCAAATAAAAGAATACTGAATGATTAAATTTGAAAACTATTGAATTAAAAGGAAAAAAAGTCATTATTTCCTTTTAATTCAAACATAAAACAAAAATATTTAAGATATATAGGGTGGTCAAAGACAGTTAACCATTCTGAAAATGAAAATGCTATCTTTTTTTGAAATGCTTTATTATTTACAATAATTTAATAAATTTATATTCACAGATGTACGTGGAACACACCAAAATAAAACATGGTTAACTGATTTTTGGGCCACTCTTATTTATTCACAAATTTTATCATATATCAAAAAATATACTTTTGTTCTTTAAAAGAGGTTCTAAATGTTATATGTAAAGTTGACTTAGAGTTATAACTTGGAACAAATCTTTCAACATTTATTGAGATTGAAAGCTAAATTATTTAACAATATAAAATTTATAGTAATTTATATAGTAATTCAATAGTAATTTAAATATAAAGTTTATCAAAACTTTATATTTAAATTTTCAGGGTGTTCCGGGACTAGATGCTCCCTGTCCTCTGGGACCCGACGGCCTACCTTTACCAGGTTGTGGATGGCGACCACCTATAGTAAGTCCTATTAAATGAATTTATGAAAATGAAACAAAGTAACATTAATGCTGTTTTAATTTTAATTATTTCTAATATTCATTTTCTGTTGTACTACTATTTCCTGTACCTTAAACATATACTAATTTGTGCTATTTATCCATGACACTGCATGAATTGATATGCTAAATTATTTAATTATAGGGACCTATACCTCCGGTTTCACCTTCTACGATAGATGATGATGATGATGAATAACATAAAAATTTAACATTACTAATCACTGCCATTAATAAAATGATGTGAGTCTTAAATTTGAACATTAACTTATGTTTGGATTAATTGATTATTGATTATGTATTTTTTTTTATAATTCAGTGATTGTGGTGTTACCATGAAGATGTGGTAGATCAAATCCATTCTCATTTTGGAGAAATTTGAGAACATCTTTAGATACAGTTCTTCATTCAATGAATATAATTGTAAATTTGCACGTTCGGAAATGTTCACTGAATTAAAATATTGGATAAAAATATAACAAATTAATCAACATGCAGCAGGAACACAATTATCTAATTACTGCCACTATTGAAGTTTGGTGATGGAAAAGTTTATGGGCATGTGTGTGTGTCTGTCACAAATAATATACAGTAATAAACAGGAAAGATTTGTTAATGCAGAAAAATACAGAAGACTGACTAATTTCTTTGTGATAAACTTTATGACACACAAATATAAAGCCAAACAAGACATTCGCTGCATTTCAGATCAAAACAATGATCATTTATGATTAAGAAAGGTATATATACATATATTACATTATCAGAGATTTTACAGAATACTGAAAATTGAATCTTTTATTGTAAGATTTTTTTTGTAAAAATTAGTGCCAAACTGTTACAAAAAATTGTTGGATAACAGATTAAAATATTTGCTATGAAGTATTAAACTGTTCAATTTATGTTAAATTGTCATTTTCTAGAATTATTTTATCTGTAAATTTCCATAAAAATACAATATATCAGTCAATGTAAATATTTCTAGTCTTCTTCAGAAGTACTTTTAGCATCTTTTAATGCTTTTTTTTTTATAAGAATGTCATAAGAGAATAATATTTACCAACTAACGTAGATGGTGCTAAGTTTTACTCTTTACATATCAGGTTTTTGCCATTTCTTAATGTCTTTCGACCCTGAAGGATTTATTGTTCGCTTATTTGATGTGTATTTATTGCATTCATTTAATTCCTGTCAGCTTATAATAATGCTTAATGCACTATTGTACAGCATTTGTAGTGTGTATAAAAAAAGGAAACATACTCACATATAAGTTATTGGTTTCTAATTGTTATAAAAGAACTGATTTTATAATTTTTCTTAAAAAGTTAGCTGGTTTTACATTTCAAAAGGTTTTTCACAATTTTTCAGAAATCAAAACCAGTTGGTATTTTGCATTCAATGAATGTAATTACTGATATGTTCTGTAAATAATAATATTGGAAACATGATAAATGCAATCTTAAAAGAAATTTAACTAAAAAAAATATTAAAAAATCATCATTTGTATACCATTTTGTGTAAGATATGTTTTTGTATGATTCAATGTCTAGTTGTAATTAAATGTGTTCCTTCATTTGGTACTTGGCTTTATATTTTTATTATTTTTTTTCTATTCAACACTCCATAATAAAGCTAAATTAGTTTAAGTTTGATTTTTATTAAAATGATTCCATAAAAGAATATTTTATATTATTTTACAGTGTTAATTTACTTACTAAGCACATCAGGTATATGCCTAAGTCCCCTGAAATTGGAAAAAAATAAAGCAATTTTATCATTGCAATTGTATATCATAGTTTATAAATAATTCTATAGCTACAATTAAACATTATTAGTTTATGATGTCATCAAATTATGTAGAGGGTCCCAATCTTCTGTGGAAAGGCCCCAGAAGATCTTAATCCATCATTGATATTTTGGGTGCTAAATTTCACAAAATATTAAAAAGTTAACTTTAAAAACTCAAGAAAATATTCCAATTCTTCTGAAATTGGAATGTTTTATAAGTTTTTTACTTTAGGAAGCACTTGTAAATGTTTTTAATGCAAAATTTTAAAGTAGAACTGTGGAGAAATACTTTAAAATTGATTTATTGTCACTTTACTTTTAAAAAATACATTCAAGATAAAAATATTTTTAAAAATCTTTTTATACATTTTTAATCTCCAATCTTTTTATAAAATTAGAGTAAATTATAACTTTAAAATATCTCCATTTGTATTTTCAATACGTTCTTAGAATAAAACTATACTTTTTTTTAAATTTCTGAAAGTAAAACTTAAAAAAATGTATATTAAAATTATGAAGAAAAATATTTTGCAATGTACAAAAGTTATACTATAATTTTAAGTTTATAAGAATGCTATACAAATATATAGACGAAATTACAGCTATAATAATGTTGCAATTTGTTCTTTTATTACGTAGGGTAACCCAAAATTTAGTTAAGTGTTTGCAAGAAATACAACAATTTATGAAAGTGTTAAAAGCAAAAATCTGTAAGTAGTGAACTATTTGAATGAGATAGAAATTGAATCTTTATACCGGTTAACTAACTTATTGAACCATCCTGTGTAAATAAATGAGAATATAATGAGACTTTATTGGGTGGTCCAAAAGTCAGTTAACAATGCTCTGTGTTCTAGGTACATTTGTGAATATAAACTGAACAGAATGTATAATAATCTGGAAACATGGTATATTCAAATATTTTTAATATTTTTTTTAAACAGCGATTAAGATTTTACAACAGTTAACTGACTTCTGGTTATCCTGTATATAATTTAATAGACAAAAATTCGATTTACGTGCATAAAATTTTTGTATATTAAAGCATCTATCATAAATTTTCAGATATATAAGAATATTTGGAGCACCAACGATTAATTTGATAAAAATTGGGTATAAATTACAATGTTGATTTATCAATGGTACTATACTCAAAATACTTATATAAATATTTCATATGCTTATTAAAAATTATATTGGTTTGCTAAATGAGGAAAGAATGAGGCCCAGCATCCTTGACCTTAACTGCTCTTCCTGACAATCACCCAAAACGGTACCTCACGCCTTAGATCCGCCAATGATGTCTTATAGAGGAGAAGTAGAAAGGAAAAAAATCCGGTTTATTTTATTCTCTAGAAAATGTTCTAAAAGAAGCTAACACTTGGTATGAGACTAACGTTTCTATATTTACTTATCAGAAAGGGGAGGACTTGGGATCGACACGTGGCCAAGGATACTTGGCAAGAATTTGTCTGACCTGTTGATGCAAAAATATAATTCTAGTCACGTTTAAGTGTAAATTTGCTTGTTTTTTTTATGTAAAAGCTCATTAAGTGTATTCTAAACTCGCATAAATTAGAATTTATCTTACTTATGTATAGAAATTTATAAGGAAGTTCACGACATATAAAAAAAAACACTTTATAAATGGTGATAGGATAAAATAAAAACGGTGGTACTTGGCATTTATATATACTTTTTTTTTAAGGAAAGGTTTTTAACAGGATAATAAGTGTAAAATCAGTCGGAATTAAGTAAAAGCTATAATTTTCCTCTAAAAATAAAGATGTTTTAACTTAATACTTAGCACTTCATATAAATATATAAAGTTATATTGGTAACTAGCAGTGACGATCGATGTCTAGAGATTTGAACTCGAATGGTGTTAACTGTGGCACTAGTTACTACTTGTATCTTCCGAATTTTTAAATTAAAATAGAAACTAAAACGATAAATAAATTATCGTTAATTGAAATCAAAGCCTCTCGCCTTTTTGAGGCCCCAATAAAGTGTTAAAAATTGTACAGGAAGAAATTTAGAATTGTAGTCTTAAGTTAGAATATATGAGGCCCTAGCAGTTTATATATAAATCTGGCTCTCTAAAATTTGATTTAAAAAAAAAATTGTTTCTTATATATAAAATATGTTACGAAATGAATAATATGTAAATTCGGTCCTGACCAGGAACGGATTTAGATTAGATCCTAGCCTGTAATATATGAAGGACCTTTCTGTTCTAACAAATAATACATATTAATCTTTATTTTTTGGGATGAAGCAAAAACCTTTTATATCTTTAAATGATGCTACTAGCTTTAGTTTGTATGACTTATGTTTAAATCCGACCTTGCTTTTGGGTCTCCATGCAATAGGATCTGATCAGAATATCATAAATGACACCGAAAAGAACAATACAAAAGATACGATTAGATAGAATTACGCCTATAGACAAGTCACCGAACGAGATAGTAATTCGTATAGAATTTTAAATAAATTTATATCTAATTTTCGTTTTATTCCAGTTCATATTTATTTGTATTTAAAATTAGAAGTCCAAAATTTTCTTAAAAATTAATTGACTATAATCGAAAAAATGCAATTTTCAAATTTCTCCAGACATAGATCGAATTACAGATCTAATAAATTAATTAAATAATTATGCTTACAAGTTAAAAACTGTCAATTGAAAATTATGATGAACTTTACTCTTTTAATATCAAGTGTTTCGTATAATCTGCAAATTGTCAAATCGCAGAAAAATCTGATATTTGCTTCAACTTTACATAACTTATGGACTAGAGTAATGCTCATCTTTGAACTGAAACTTTATACAAGTGCGCTTGAAATAACCAAAAATTTAATTTACATTGCTTAATAAGTACATAAACGTTCGCGTTTTTAAAAAATATAAATCGATAATTCAACAACCGAACACATTCAAGTCTTTTTAACGAATTTACACATTAAAATATACTTGAGATGATGATTTAAGAGAAGAAAATAATTCTGTTCGAATAAAATGGCGAGATTGTGAGAGGGAAGAGATAAAAAAAAGTACACACATTTTTTGGGGTTTTTTAAAGTAGAAGTCGATAAATCAACACCGAACTTTTCCAGGAGTCATTTTATAGGATAAATGCATTAAAATATACTCGAGGTGATGATTTAAGAGAGCAAAACTGGATCCTACTCTAACAATTCAGAAAAAATCGGGAGATTATGAGAGGGAGGGGAGGAAAACTTTTTCATTGTCGTAATTTTATGGGAAGTGACAGCAGAGGAAGGAAATATTTAACTTTTTTTGTAAGGAAGTTCTATCACAAAACACATCCTGGCCTGAAAGAATTAACAGGTTATTCACCACAAACATTAATTGTCTCACTAATTAACATGGCTACCCAGCCAGACATTTATATTGAAACTACACCCAACCTCTTGTCATTACCAGAAAAAGGAGAGAGAGAGGGAGGGGAAAAAACTAAACTAGACAGGCAATGTTAAATAATTAAATGAAAATAGCTGATATGTAACGCTTTTTCTTTATTAAATATATTTTACAATAGGATAAAAATATATATCATTCGTCCTAAATTTGTTCGACTTTATATTACTTCTATTGTTTTTATCTCCCTCAATTTTTATTCTAGTTAACAATGTTAGTATTGTTTTAACTATCTTTATGAGATTTTCCTCTTTGTTTAAGAGATATGACGATATAAATTCAAACTTTTAAACAATTTTAAGCTTGGAAACGGGGGTATGAATTTACCTGAAAGGATTTTAAACTCCCCCCTTATATTCTAAAGGTCTGTGGTTAGAATTTAAGGACGTGAACCGTAACTATTAAATGACCCAGCTAAAGCTGAAGTTCCCAGATGGGGAAGCTTAAAAACTTGGACGGTGAGGCCCCTCTTGCAAACAATTACGCCTTACTGTAAGCATTGCTAGACTAGGGAAAGCAGCAACTCAGACCATTAAGAGATGTTATTCTTTCGTTCTTCGCCTACCCCTCGACTCGTATCAATATTAACATTGATTAAATTTAGCCTCGGGCTCGTGTTTTCATGAGGGGTGTAACCCGTAATTTTCAACGTTAAGTAACGTAAAATCGTTACATAATGAGACTTTGATAGAACTTAAGCGTGTGGAGATGAGAAGTTAAAAAATTGTCATTTGTGCAATAATTTAAGGAGTTGAAATCCACAATTTAGCTTAAAATTTTATAACATTAAAATTCTTAAGAAATGCAACCTTTTGTATGTACAGGATATGAAGATTCGATTAAAATTTTTACTTTAAATTACTAAATTTATGCGTCCTTATACGAGGCATGGGCTAAATATAAATAAATTCCAAATTCAAAAATTTTAATTATTGAAAAACTATCGCTTGATGGAATTTGAGTTAAAATTTAAAGGAAATGAGCATTAAGTGGCGTAAAATCGTCACATAATGAGACTTTGATAAAAATTCTAGAATTCGTGACGATAATAATAACCTAATTGGATAAGAGCCGATATTTTGCGCCTCAAGGTCGTTGCCCTTTACTCTGGCGTATACATTTTGACATTTGGGATAGGTTTTCTTCCATTTGTATCAATGAAATATTTCTCTTTTCCTCCTCTACATATAAAACAAGGGTTTCCATTCTCTAGCCATTATCCCGGGAGTAAAGAATGTACTATTAATCTTTCAAAGAATTAAGTTGCTCTCCCTTCTCGCACTTAGCAATGAATGGAAGTTCAGATAAAAATTAATTATGTCTATAAATATTACAACGGAAGACGAAATAAAAAGTTATTTTGTATACTTGGCAAGAAAACATTTTAAAATTGAACGTATTAAGAATAATAAGGCATCCATTCAGTAATAAATGAAAACCTTTCTTTGTTTTTGTGTTAACTTATCGCTTCTTCCGATTACTATTGAAGTGGTGGAAGAGGTTAAGAAGTGTATCGTTTGAACGATCGAGAATAATTTTTTCTTTTTTCTTTTAGAAAACAGATAAGCGGAAAAATTTGCACACAAACTTCATTTTTTCCTTTTTGTTTTTTTTTTTTTTTTAGTCCGTGTAAGAGGGAAGAATTTTTGTTTTTGAGCCCAAAAATAATTTATGCGTTTAATTTTATAGGTTATATGGCTTTATTAATCCATATTAGAATATGCCAAATATAAAACTACAATATAGAATATCCATCATACTAATTAGAATGCTCAACAGACTACATCCAATAGAATACTCAGTAGAATATATTCAACATGATTCAACAGAATAGTTCAAAAATATATCCAATACACCTAACAGAGTACCTAATATAATACTGTATATATTTAATATAGATAATTTAATAGAATATAATTAATATGTCTAATAAGATACCAAATATATAGGGTCGAATTTACAATTGTAGTCGTAAGTTACAACATACAAAAGATCTTTCCCTTTATCAAATAATAATGGACCTTACACATTAATTATTTTTAAGAATGAAGCAATCCCCGCGTACAGTACCTTCAAGCCCTAAAGTGTAGCTTATTAGCTTATGTGTAAATCCAGCTCTGAATAGAATATACTCATATAAAATGTATAAAAATTTTGCATAATAGGAATATTTTAATTTTTTATGTTATTTATTCTTCATTAGTTATTTTCAAATATTCTAATTTGTCCTATTTTTATAATTAAAAAAAAAATCGTATTTTCTTATGGCCAATTTTTGGGCCTCCCTTCAATTCTCTTACATAAAAATTAATTACTTCCATTTTTCTATGCAAACTTCAAAGACGATAACCTCCAAGTTTTCATCTTTATACAAAAGTCTAAACAAGTTTGATTCCCATATACAAAAACTGATTATTTCTATTTATCGATGCTAATATCCAGAAAGATAAGCTCTTTTTCATTTTATATAGCCTATAAAATATAAATTTTTCCTCTCTCAATGAAATCTTGATCTCATTTCGCCTATCTCCCTTTATCTATACGCCCCTTTCTTATCATTTCTTATAGAAAGATAGATGCTATTTCTCCATAATGGACAGGAGGAGGAAGATGAGGAAAATGAGAAGGAAAGGAATAAGAAGGGTTTCATTACCACTTAGTTTTTTTTTTCAAAATTTGAAGAAAATAGGTTTCCATTTGTGAAATAAACTAATCTCTAGAGTTAATTCTACTCTTAAACACAATCCTTTTGTCTTCTCAAGTTCTAATTTATTAGACTATATTTTACGATGGGTCCTGTATCCTTCGCACGAACAAAGTCTAAATCATTTGGCTCCCTATGGACGATGGGCCTCAATCAGAAGAGTCAGAAAAAAACCCTAAAAGATATCATCTATATTAGTTTCTGTCGGGCGTGGTCCAGATACATATTTGTCTTTAAATGTAATTAGCCGGCTACTTGGGGTTTATCTCTGTTTCTCTCTTTCTCTCTATCCCTTTTTTTAACCAATTGATAATTGTGCCCTAACTCGCTCAACCTGATTTTCTTACAAAATAAGGTTATTTGTTTCCATATCACGATACTTACAAAATCATTAAAACTTCATTCATGAAATAGGTTGATGCAAAAATATAGGTAGAAGCACATTAAAGTTTCCGCCCGATTTTTAGAGGCTTTAATCTTTTTTTCCGATTGTTTGCTCGCTATCAGTCATATAGATAATGTTTCCTAAGGTGAACGTTTTTCTTGTTTTGCTTTTCTTCTTATCGATCGATAAACAGAAACTACTACAGCCCGAAGGTGTTAGTTCCGGTCATTGCCGCTATGGCGCCACGAACGTCACATATGTAGCCAATATATATCTATATATATACACTACATTCTAGTACTACCCTTTTATAACTTTACCATTAAAACTGAAAAAAAACTACTAAATTATAGACAAGAATAACAGTTCCATCCTCCAAAATTCGTGTGCTTTACAGTGCCAAGTATCAACAAAGCTTTGAAATTTATATTGTATCCCTTACGGTTCACTTAACAGCTGGAGTACCAACAAACATTTTGATCCTAAGATATATTTTAGATTGAAATTATGGTTTTATCTAACGCTGGTAGCATGATTTAAGAGTTGGCATCCTATACCAAACCTCAAAAAAAGATGATAAAGCTATTTTATAGTGTCTCTTCTACTATGGTTACGAGTCCAGGATGTTTCTCCGCTCTAAATTTACGAGTAGAAGCTGTTTTAGAGTTAAATATATGTTACAAGTATTTGAATGAAATTCAGTTTCGATAAAATTTCTTATTATGTAACCTAGGTTTAGATGTGTTACATCATTATTTTATATATTTTTATCTCTTCAGACTTGAGGAATTATTTCAGTGTGATCATAAACATCGAGATCCACACCCTAAATCGATTCTATAATGTCTAAGTGGTCCTATTTTTGTCACTTATATTGACTTCTATTAACTAGATCGATATAACTATGAACCCCATTTTGTATCGAGTCAATACACTGCGGACAAAGTACTAATTTTTGACGAAAAATATGATTAGGTAGTCGTAAAGTGCAGAAGAGCGCCAATCAATTTTTCCCCCTTTGTGAAGTTGTGACATAGAAAATTAAAATGGCGGAACGGGACTTTTACGATCGTTCGCACAAGTGAAGTTTCAGTTCGGAGAAACCGCTACCCCGGTTCCTACTCTACTTACTGATTTAATAAGCAGAATGCTGCTCCGTTCGTTGAACCCTGCTTACCTCTGCAACGAACGGAGACGTGCAAATCTAAGTTGAAATATATATACCACTATTATTTCTGAGTATTGCAGGACGGAAGGTCTACATCCCATATTTTTGTTACATGAAAAATTAAAGGAAGTGATATAAACAGGTCTTACACCTCTATCGTATTACAGGAATGCAGATATAACCGAATATTAATTTTGTTACTCCTACATGAAATATTATAGATCCTAGTTTGTGATGTGTTAGTTAAAAAGCTTTCAAACAAATTTAGGAACTCTCAGAGGTCGAGAGAGGCCACAATCACTTACTTTTTTTTGAGGCCCCCAGTATAGGCAATTAAAAAACGAAAAAGTGGTTTTTAAAATAACTTTATTATTTTTGAAATAAAATTTTTCTGCTTCAAACTGAAAAATTTGTAATAAATGTTGCTCGAGGCCCCGTAAATGTGAGGCCTGGAAAAAGCCAGATTTATACATGTAATTAATGACCTTAAGCTTACGACATTAAGTTATAATATACGAGAACCTTCCCTTCCATAAAATGGTAATAAATCAATAGATCCTAATGCTGAAGTATCATAACGTAAGGCCCTAAACTGTAGCTTATTTAGTTTAGGTGTAAACCTGGCCTTCAGCCCGGGTGAAATAGCTCTGCTTGCACCCTTATAATAGAGCATAAACACGCTCAGAGAGAAAAAAGAGCCTTCAATTGTGTTCAAAATTATCATTTTTATAAGATTTTCTAATTATAGTACTATTGTTATGGAGCTTAACTGCTTAAAAGATTAAATTTTAATCCATTTATAGATGTAAAATTTAGTAAACACGTAAGTAAACATCGTTTGTTTACCGAGTTTATATAATTTAAACAATATTAGCATCGACTTACGAAAGAACATGGTTCACTTTTAGAATAACAAAAAACCTGTATAGGATACGAAGCAAAACATTGGTCGTCGAATCGTTTCTAAATCTCAAAAGGTCTGAGTGGCGCCTGAAAGACTCGCAGTTCGAGTCTCATTGTTTGTGTCCTGAAGATGCCAAATATCTGATCCATTTAAGGATAGAAAAAGCAATGTCTCCAGTTACCATTAAATACGCGAAAACAATGATAATTTCCAATTTCATCCCTCATTTTTCCCTCTTAGAAATGTGTAAAGGGAAGAGCAAAAATCGGGATGTGGACCCCCGGAGTATTCTAAGACGTCTGTTTGTACGTGACTCAAGTTTTATTTAGGGCAATGCGGGAGGAGTGTCGTTGACTACTATTCTATGTAACATAAACCTTGAAACAAAACGTTTCTGACATCGAAAAATCAGACTTAATTGAAACAAAAAAGAAGAAAATTAAAAGCAGACGTTGAAGAATCTCTTCGGTTATTTCTGTCAGCACTCTTTTATTTTTCGAGTTTGGACCGTTGATAAGGTCAACAACTTCTGCCAGCCAAAATATGTGGGTTATTTAAGTATGCTGATATCTACCCTTAAAAATAAACTTTGGCTATTGTAAATTTTAAAATTTTGTTACTACTTGAGAATATCTCTTTTGTCTTTTGCCACTTCACCGCATGAAAAAGTATTTTTAATTAACCGTTCTTCGTGTTCATGGTAAATAAATAAAAGAAAAATAAATTCATAAATTGTAATTAAATTTTGCTGAAAATATTCAATATTAAAATTTAATAAATTTCTGTTCTGTGTAAATAAAAACAAAGGATTTTAAATTACTTACTTTTATCTGGATTTTTAAGCTTATTTCGAATTTATTCTTAACATCTGAAAATATTAAATTTTTAATAATTAAATAATGAATTATGTTATAATAAGAAAATTACTTATAAATCAATTTTATTGAAGAAAAAACAAACGTGTTATAGGGCCTAAATATTAAAGATTATAAAATTCTGTAGAACACCGTAAAAACGAAGTTTTAAAATTTTATTGTGCAAACGTTGAAGAAACTTTAAAATAATCATGTGTCATTAAAAATACAATTTAATTTATTATAATAAATTAATGCAGGTCCACCTAGTTGTCGAGATGGGTCCAAGTCCCAGTACATTATTTTAAAAAAAAGTATTAAAAATTGTATTTTTTAAACACTGTTTTAGTGTATTGTATTTTTTAAATAATAAAATTTGACAAGAAATAAAGTGTGTTTTCTCAATTTACACGATATACAAAGAATAAAATTGTTTAGGACCATGTATATGTGAGACTTGAGCCAAGTGGCCTACTGGCTTCCATGTGATGGGGTCTAAATTAATGTGTTATAAGTCTCATCTCAGAGCATAAAATATTATTTATTTTTGTTTTAAAAAATTAATTAAAATTAATGACTTTTTTAATATTAAAGAACTTTTAATATTTACAATTTTTATCTATATAATGAGATTCTTTTTAAAATACACTTTGATATATTAAAGTATTGATGAAATGCAGAAGAAAAAAATAAAGTAATTAAGTAGAATTACAGTAAATTATGCTGTGCATTCTCACATGCAATGTATGTTTTTCATCGTATTTTCGTGTTTTAACATAATTATATTTGATATTATTATTAAAAAAAAAAAAAAACATAAATATTGTCCTAACGTCTATGCAGGCATTACGTTCATCTAACTGTAAGTTTGGCAATACTTATTAGAAGCATCCATTATCCTGGTGTTGTTGTTGTTGTTGTTTTCTAACGTCTGTTATCTACTTATCGTGACAATATTAAGTTTGTTAATGTTTTATAACTATCAACAAATAAACAACCCCCATAAATCAATACTAATAGTAGAAATGGTTATTATCATGTTAATATGAATCTGCGATGTAAGCCTATGTATTAAAGACAATAAAGCGATTTTTCTTAATAAAATAATGCTGGAAATCGCTGTTATAATGCAGAATTTTATATATTTTTCTTAAATTTATCGTTATTACAAGCTTCCTTCAATTGTAACTTCACTCCTAAAGATCCCTTTAGGAGTGAAGATCCCTTTCTTTATAGCTAACTTCTCTACTGTTTCAACTATTAAAAAAATCCATAAATTATATTATTTTTCACGTTCGAATTTGAAGAAATGGATAAACATGGTCTTTATCGTGTAAATGTTCAAATATACTCTACACAATTAAACTCGAGGAATAAAAGAGGGGGAGAAATGCTAACCATTTTTAAACTTGGCACATGCACCACGAAACAAATGTTGACCTTGTGAACGAATTGGCTAATTGTCACTATCAAACAAGTGTAAATTGAATTAGAACTTAGCAAATTCAGATAGAATCGATAGATGACACTCATCCAAATGTAGAAGTAATTAAAACACATTAAAAGAAATTCATTTTAGAAACTTTAAATATTATTTTAAGCTAATAAAACAGCCGAATTCCAACTGTTACAACGACCTAAATGTAGTTTTTTTTTTTTTTTTTTTAAATTCTTCTTTCTAACTTTTTTTTTGTTTTTTTTTTTTAGTTGAAACGACCTGCATGTAATAATATAAGTAAATCTGTCAAGTAAAATCAATCGGGGACGGGTCATAAATAAGAGAACGGGTCGAGAATTGGGGCTTAAAGGACAGTGAGTGTAGGGCCAGCTGACTTATTTGATGCTTAAAATAGAAGAGTTTCCTCTTTTAACAGTTGTTTATCAGTTCGAATGAATGGTGAAGAAGTTATTAAAATGTACGGACATTGAGTGGAGAGGATTGAAAAATGTACGAAACGAACTTTTGAGCATACAATCAGTTTTTCTTCTTTACATTCATAATAATAATTTTCATAAGTTTTATGGTAATGTAAAATGATACAAAGGTTTATGATGATAATAAATAACTACACTTTTTTACTTTTATTATTATTATTATTTTTTTATCAAATAGAAGGTTTGTAAGTTGGGAGTCGAAGACGTGACATGGATAATTCGTCTCTGTCAGCAGTTGAGAAATGTTCTTGTTTTTAAATTGCAGAAAGATAAATTATCGTCATCATCATCATCATCATATGAATAATATAATAATAGTGAAAAAATTTTTTATGCATTATTTAAATTATCAATTTAAAAAAGAATTACAGATTAATTTTAGCGAATAACAGTACTATTTTATGAAATTTTTTTAAAAGTCACAAAGGCCACAGCTCTCGACTCAATAGAAGATTAGAGAGGTCAAAGAAGCAAGCATAAGAGGTCTCTAAGATTATTAACTTTGAGATGTCTCTAAACTTCTCTTTACCTTTCTACAATTTTATACCTTAGATAAGCGTATTTAAAAGTCTTTTCGTGTATCTTTCGACTCAAATTTACTAGGATTTATCTAATTTAATTAAAAGAAAAAATAATGAAGGTTACAGCTCTCGACTCTATAGCAGATTAGAGAAGTCAAAGAATAAGAAGTCTCTAAACTGTAAAATTAGAAAAGTTTCTAAGCTTCTTGACACTTTTCTACGGTATTATTTCTTAGATAAGTGCTCTTAAAGTCTTTTCGCATCTTTTCCTCTCTCAAATTTGCTACATCGTAGTAAATATCCGAAGCGTAAATTTTCATTTTAAAGCAAGTTTAACCATTTTTGCATTTAATTAAAGGAGCCCTTTTTAAATTTTCTGATAGGATAACGACATTATCCTTTGTTGTATCCTTAACAAAGAGCAAGAGTTATCGGACGTCTTATCAGCATTGTACACTCTATTTTTTTTTCTCTCTCTCTCTCTCTCTCTAATTAAGTAACTTCTTACTAAGAAACTATTAATGACAATAAAAAGTCGACAATCTGGTCGTAATAAATTCGAAAGAATAATTATTGATATAATTTATTGTGGTTAATAAATATTAAAAAACTTATTTAGGTTTAAGGAAATGACTTGAAAGGTTTAAAATTAGTTTAATATTATAAGATTCCTGAGAGAAATTACGTAACATAAAGATGTGAGAATTTATCAGGTTGAGGATTTATCGAGATAATAAGAAAAATAAACACCACTTACGGAATTTCTGGCAACGGAATGGGGGTTAACTCACACGTTTCTTCTATTCACAGTAGTATTTTTTTTATTTACCATCTGAAAAGTGATATTTTGAATAGTTTAAAGTAAAAGAATTTGCTTAAACAACAATATTCTGTTATCAAGATGTGGTTAGAGATTCATTTTAATGAATTATATCAACTAAGTTATGAAAAACTAAATACAAGAAAAGTTATATTTGAGAATATCTTAAAATGTCTTAAAATTTATTCTACTTACTCCAGTTTATAAAAGAATAAAACTTTACAGGATAAGAAAACTAAAGTTTTAATTAAAAAATCATATTTCTTATTTTCTCAAGGAGTTTCAAAGATAGCTTATATTATAAAATAATACTGAGTGGTCGAAAAGTTAGTTAAACCGTTATAAAGATTAAATTTCTGTCTTATTAAATACCTTATTACTTACAAACTTTACAAAAACGGTTCAAAATAAGATAATCACAAGTGAAAACACGGTTAATTGATTTTTGAACCATCCAGTACATACTAAAGATTTTCCTATTATTTACATCAACTAACATACTAAATGTTGACAGAAATAGAATGAAAAATATTAATGTATGTACGAATAAGACTTTTTAAATCCAAAATTAAAGTGGTTTTCAAAAGTATAATCTTTATAATATTTCTGTTTGTTTGTGATAAAATAATCCCTTTCCCTATATCATATTTACAAATTATAATAAATTATAAGAAAAACTCTTATAATTATATTTCTCCAAATAAGTCTAAAAATGTACATTTGTAAGGGAAAATTTATTAGAAAAAAGTATTTTCCCTTTGGGCACGGTCTGTATGTTAATAAAGAATACATATAGGAAAAAGCTATTAGAAAATATTTAACGTAACTTATATACAGTTGCTATTTAGGACATTGAGAGAAATTCTTTGCATTTAGGACGACTAAAAACGAAGAATCTACTCAGAAAACTATCTTAACACGTTGCTGTTTAAAATGGAATGTAGCAAAAATACTTTAAAATATATTCTAATATGTAATGCATTATATTAATATATATATATAACATTCTGACACGTAAAGGGACTATAATATAATTTTATTAAAATGTTTAATAAGAAATTAGTTGACTATAAGTTCTCCATTCTTTAACAGATCCATAAAATATATCTCTTCAAGGGATGTCTATATAGCATTTATACTACTAGTTAAACAAGCTGAAGCTGGACCTCACAGTATAAAAGATATCGTTCCATTCTCAGAAAAATAAATAAATAAATATGCATTATCCATTATTTGGTAAAGGAAGAATTACATCTTGTATTTTATAGCTTAGGACCACATGTTTAAATCCGGCCCTTGATATATTTCAAGTTTTAAAAAGTTTTTATAGATACAAAAACACTATAAAATCTTACAGAATTTTTATAATTAATACATTCTTCTGTGATGTGACGTAGAAGAAACATTGCTCGAGAATATGTAGTTTATAAGGGAATGATATGTGTATATGGAAAAGTATAGGTTATGCTATTATAATAACCCAAAAGTCAGTTAACTTGTAAAGACTAAATTATAGTATTTTTCAGAAACGCTTTAGATTATAAATTTTACAAAAATTATCCATAAAGGGATTCTTCTTATTAAATACACATAACTTATATTGCTTTGATAAATTATAACTTTTTGATGATTCTTTGTTGGAATAATTCGAACGGTTAACTGACTTTTGGATCACCCTGTAAATATCATGGATTTAAATTTCCATCTCTGAATACTGCAGTTATCTACTAACATTGAATGAGGGATATTTCTATTAAGTAATAACATTTCAGTACATTTCAGATACTTTCTCTCTTGTTTTTATGGAGATACTAGTCGTTTGCGTTTTTCTTTTTAAGGCCTTATTAACGCCATTTCACTAAAACAAATGGTGTACAGTGCTCAACACTTCAGTTTGCAAATTTTCATGCAATATATTTCATCTTATATGACACTTCTAGTTTATAAATGCAGTCTTCAAGAAGTAATTTTCACGCCTTTAAAAATTTTAATAAGATATCATTTTATAAGAAATCAAAGAAAGTATGAATATATTTTTAAAGATCTTCGTGGATAATTTCGAAGAGAAAATGAAGTAAAAATCCTCCATTTGGCACTCCTTAAAATAACAAGTGTCAAACTGAAGTGCAAATTCGACTCTACTTAACATTTATTTAACATAATTGCAGAGTTATCCTCGCTCACCCCGTTCACGACAGGTGTGCCTTGAATTCTCGAACAGGTAAAGAAGGTGCGTAGGTGAGTGGCCGTAAAAATACTTAGTAGTGTGTACCGTCACGATTCTCTTAGTCGAAATCCCTTTAATTGAGTAATATTCTTCGTCGTGTCATTCGAAAAATTATTTATAAATTCGAAAATTAATTACAGAATTTAAAAAAAAAACACATAATACACCTGGCCTAGCATAGTGAGGAACCGAGGTGAAATCGTGAGTTACGTCACGCGTGAATCATTTCACGCGCTTTTGATCATTAATGTCACGAACTCTGATTCATCTTGACATTAAAAAAAAGTTCTTTCTTTGTTAGTGTGTGATTTATTGGAGACGTTTGCCTGTTAGAAAGCTCATATACTTTCCTATATAGGACCGGATTTATTCGTTATGGTTTTAAGTTATATCATACGTAGTATAAGAGGCCTTCCTAATAGCAATAAAGTTAAAAACGTAAGGCCTTAAACTATACTTGTTAGCTTTTGTTTAAATTTGGCCCTGCTTTTCTAGATAATAGAACCGGATTTAGACTTGTCATGGATCTAAATTTTAATATACAAGAGACACTTCTAGTAATAATAAATTTAAAAGCTCTATTGTTGTAGGGTGAGACTTTAAGCTGTAGTCTCGTAGCATAAGGTCCTAGGCTGTAGTCTCGTGCTGGGCTTAAGCTTTAGTTTTATAATGTGAGGCCCTAAGCTGCAGTGTTTTATATGAGGCCCTAATATGCAGCTCGTGTGCAAATCCTGCCCTGTTTATACTTTGCTGTAGATAAAGATTCGATTTTCGTTTTTGTCTCTAAGGAACTGTTATTATTTTAAATTCACAAACAAGTTTTTTTTATTCTTTAATCTAAAAAACACGAGAAAATTTGTTTTTTACTCGGGTATTTGACTTCGAAAAAAAAAGAAAAATAACGTTTTAATGCCTAACTTGTGTTCCACTAACCCAAAACTATTTACAAAAGACTTCCTCTATGAAACACACGAACAATTGATGTAACACGTTACTTATCCATTAAAAATTATTATTAACGACTTTTAAAATAAGTAAATTAAACTATTTAAAGGTAGTAACAACATCCGAGTTACATAAGAAATATTCGAATCGATACAATACAATCAAGTAACGCATGTTACTCGTAATAATAATTTAATTTAAAATAATTTTTAAAAACAGCCAATGAAACTGCACGACTTTGAAGTTTTAAACTCTGTTATGTTACGTAAGTGGCAATAATGTATTATGTAAAAATACTCAAAAATTAAAAAAAAAAACAATTTCCATTTTAATTATTTGAAGTGATAAATCTAGCATTGTTACCTAACAGATATATAATAGAATAATTAACGTACCGAATATACCATAAAAATAAAAGTTTAGAATTTAAAATTGAAATTTTTAAATTTAACTTCGGCTGACGTCATTACCAGAACGACCAACAAAAAACTGCATCACCACGTTACTGCACACACAACACGATCTGTTGCGTAATTAACTAGTAATCAGCAATAAGTACAGAGCCTACTGTTTACTACACTACTACTAGTACTGACGTCATTTTTTTATGATTTAAAGTTAACAAAAGAGTTTAAGCAGCCAAATCGCTGTCACTTAACACAAGTATACAACTAATTGACTTAATTAATTAAAATACAGTATTTTAATTTTAGAAAAACTAAAAATGAATCGTCTGCTAGAAACTGAAAGCCAGTTACACACACGTGGATGATGGTTGCTATGGTCAATATCACCAAGTACTATTGGACCAAAGCCAAAAAGCTCGTCTCTGATTGGCTGTGGTTTAGCCAAGGAAATGGATCTTAAAATCAGCTGTTCAATGCTCCGCTGATGTCAGAACGAAAAGGTTTTTGTTAGAGGAACGATCTGGACCCCCCTATTTTTGAGTTCAGAACTCTGTGAACAACACGGTTCTCAATATAACTTGGTGTCTGACGGATATTCATGTCAAATAGTCAACTAGTTATACCGGTAAACGCCGGTGGTAAGCAATTGTCTTCACTTTCCTGGACTCGAATCGTGGACAAATTCGGTTGTATCGTGAGAAACAGAATTAACATGAAAATATCAAACGTTAATGAAGATTCTGAATCGTGGATCGATTCTATAGGTGAGTATCTCCTTCTTATTTAGGTCATTCTCTTATTTTGTATGTTGCATATACTGTACAGTACACATATAAAAGGGTGTAACCCCGTCTAACAGATATTGGTGACAATAGACTCGTTAACATTCGAAACGTTTGTTGAACATCATTTTTAAGGTGTGACTGGGTTTAATTCCATATCCAAACCTTCTCGGGCCTCTTAATGTTTGTGTATTTCTGTTGCCAAGCTCGATTATCGATCGGGTTTTAACAGGTTGTCTGTCGTGTCTAAGTCCCCCCTTTTTTGTCTGAATTTTAAATAAAATTTTGAGATTTTTTGTTGATAAAATAAGAAATTTCTTAGTTTTAAACTTTTAAGTAATTTAAATTAGATTTTTAGAATGCAAAATACAATTTTGTTCAGTCTAAACGGGGTTTAATAAAACAGAAAAAAGTAAGCTGCAGGAATAATGCTACGTTTATACGAGTTTATCTATAATTAGAAAAGAAACCGGGGAGTTTAGGGGGTTTTTTCCAGAAAAATCCATTAAGAAACTACCCAACTGGTGCGAAAAGTTGCTAGAGATAACAGAGATCAAGTTTTTTGCGTGAAGTTTAGAAAATTATTTTCGTCACAAAAAAGTATTTTAAATTTTAATAAAGTTAAGATCTGTACCCAATTTCATTGTATGTCTTTGTCTGCATCATTGGTATTATAGAGATAATTTTATTTTACTGTCTGTGCAATATAATCTTGTGCTTGTTACGGTATACACGATCAAAAATAAATGAGATTTATATCATACTAAACGATCCTAATTTTATTCAAACTCATTAGAAACCCGTTTTAGTGGGGTTGCACACTTATCCCAGTTCTCTTTAGTTAGTAGGAAGTAGAATTAATGATTTTTAAAAATCGTAAATTAATTTTTAAATAAATTAATTATAGAGTAAGCTAGTAGTAAACGCAGGATTTATACTTGTTGAGGCACTAGAGTATAATAAATAAGAGGCCCTTCAACTTCATCAAGTAGTAATAAATTTAAAAGCGTGAGGCTGTAACTTGTTTAGTGTACGTATATATTCTCACTAGTAGATTGAGTTAGGATTAACTTATATAATTTATCGATTTTTTCCTTAAAATAGAAATTTATTCTTTGCAGATTCAGAATTACAAGAAGGACAAGTAGACGAAGTAGCCACCTGCAGTTTACTCTCTCAACGTTTAGAAAGCGCACTTCGTGAAGCTAAACTGAAATCCGTCCTGACTAGTGAAATCTTAATACCTTGCAATCTAACCCACCGAATATCCCTAGACGTTATCAAAATGGCAGAAGTGGAACCGTGCGGTTTGAAAGGATGTGTCATATACATCCTCCTGGACGACAGATCGACGTGTAAGAGGATAGGAAAAGTATTCTGTGATCCTCAAGTGGTATCGACTTTTGAAGTATTTCTGACTCTAAGAAAGGACTCTGCTAACAATTGGTTGAGTCTTCGTAATTTTATGAGAAGGCTAGGCAGGTCCTCGCCTCTAGTAATAAGCCAAGAGTACAATTTAAGTAAAAGAAAACTGTATAGATCATCTAGTCTCGAAGACTGACATCTTCCCACCTATAAGGATCAAATTTTCGGTTTTTTTTATATACACGCATATATACAAAATACGTAATGTAGAATGTGATTGTGTTAGTTGTTACAATTTTTGAATGTGTGTACTTGTGTGAGCGTGTGTGGTAATTTCTCCACTCTGATCTCTCTATTAGCGATTTACTCATTTTTGTGGTCTTTTGTGTGTAATTTGAATTTTTTTGGTCTTGGTACACTGAATGCTCTTGTGCAGTGCACCAGAGCCTGACCAGATGTAAATGGCTAGTCGGTTGTCATCCTCGTTTTCACGTTGCCAACAGGTAAACTTTATTTTTTACCTTTAAAGTACGTCTCCCACCATAACGATATTTATCCTCGAGACACTTAAGCATGTACTTTTTTTACAATGAAAAAACAAGAGGAAAAAAAATTAAAAAATATATATATATTAAAATGACTATTTTTTGTAGTTTATTATGGTTATTGTGTATGTAATATATACTGGGACCTATAACAATCGGATCGTTTATTCTCGTAACCTGTCCATCCATGTGTATGACCGCCATTTCGCTCCATCTGCTTCCGCAGGAAATTCAGAAAAACTTTAAAATATTAAAGTATTTTCGCTAACTAAATTTATAACACAATAAGATAACATTAAACATTCTAAGTCACGTATTTTTTAGACATTTACAATTTAAATTACCTTTACATTATAAAAATAAAAAAAAATTACCACGTGTGTACGGTGCCTATGTAATTTAATGGCAATCTGTTTTCTAAATTCGCTATTTATGTTAGGAAAAGAAATTATTTAAGAACTTTTAAGGTTAACAAACTTATGTATTGCTCTTTTTTTCTTTCTTTATACTTTTTTCAAAGATAATTATAAGCAACTCGTTACGGGAGCCAATTGGGGAAACAGTCGAGTATTAACGTCACCCGATTGACGTTTGTGAATAATGAATGTCGAGTTCATGTCAATGAACGTACTTCTCGTAAAAACAAACATTTCCTTTAAAAAAAGGATGATAAATTTATTAAAAGAACCTTTCAGAGAGATGTTACAATTTATCAAACTGACAGATTCTATTTAATAAAAGATTTTTACCAACACGTCAAAGTACAAAAATCATATTTAAAGCATATTTAAAAGGAAACAGTGCTACTAAGAGAGTAACACTTTTTCCTTTTAGTTATGATTAAAAGTATAAAGAATATTTAAAGTAATAATTAACATACCGCTCTTTTAGTAATACTTTTTCATTTTAAGCATATCTAGAAGAAGTGCTACAAAAAAGACTTTTTCCATTTAGATATGTTTTAAATGTACTTTAGTAGTGGCCTTTTGACATCGTGAACAATTGATGATCCTTTTGTTGATCCATGTTGATCCATCCTTTACATATATAATGAAGTCTTGATATAGAGAATGGTTTACTCTGTCTTTAACGAGAATCCTGTAGTAATCAATATTTCGTTCTTGTAGTTTAAGGTTTTTTCTTTAAAGCATACCTGAAACGAAACAATGTTATTGAGTATTAATTAAATATTCTATGTTAAACGTAAAAACCAATAATATCCGGATTTTTATTCTTATTTTTGTTACTCGAAACGAAGTTTTAAACGTCCAAATAGAGTAGTTTGCTTTTTAAAGCGAATTCTCTCATCGAGTGTTAAAACTATTTAAAAAATCTTTTTTACGTCAATAAGAGAAGTGTAGAACAGAAGATAAATCTCTGCCAAATTTAAATGAAAGAATTAAATTTGTTGAAATTTGGTTTGAATCCAAGTGGCGCGGGTAGGAAAGTAAACAAGTGTGTTACTCGTGGAGAAAGGAGACGACAAGCTTTGGAATTTTGTAACCTTGATGCTGATTAATTTTTAAACACAAAGTTTAAAGTTAAAGTGTACTCTAGAGTGCATAAACTCATAACTAAAACGGGTTATAAATAGTTTGTGCGTGTGCACGGATTTCGAAGAGAACAACAACCTATATTTATCAACATACCTTTCACAACAGTTTTAAACTCTTATCTAACGGGTTGTGATTTGTGATCTGGAGTGGCCTCCGAGATAAAATTATGCTTTCTTTTTATAAAACTGTCTGCAAAGTTTTCTGTTATGGCTTAAAATAATTTTAAAAGAAATTTAAAACTTACTCCATGAAATTGCTTCGATGATAACCATCATCAGTAGGCGACGATGACGATAATAGTGATGACAAAATAACTGTGATTATAGAAAATTAGATACGACTGTGATTATACCCGGTTTATATCATTAGAAGATTTTATTTGAATCATCTCATGCCTTGTTTAGAAGAACCAATCTTCTAAAAATAAATATTAAAAAAATATTTCTTAAGGTTTATTTGCTATATTTATTAAGGAAATAATTATAATTAATTAATTTGCATACAAAAATTAATTTTTTAATAAACAATGTCAAAATTCTCCCAGCAAAACATATGACATGATCCACCTTTCTTATAGGTGTACTGGTGTAGATCATAACCTTAAAACACGAGTTACCTATGTGAGGTCACGAAATGTCACTAAATTATGCATTTTTAATAAAATACAAACTTTAAAAAATGCACCAAAAAAGAAAATCTTTGGTTAAAATATCATGTTTTTCGAAAAAAAAAAAAAAAGAAACAAGAAAAGATTTTGTAGTGATGATAACCTGCGAACTGTGTATATGTCCGTTTTTATGAATGACCTGAACTTAAGATCCGGTCCATAGACCTTATCAGCAAGGCACCCTCCCCACCTCCATACAGTTATGAATTCTACTTAATGGGACGAGTCCAAGACCGGTCTTCATATAAGGTCATTATATTCTTCCTTTTTAGTTCGGGTTAAACCAATTTTTTATTATTTTTAGATTGTTTTCGTCGTGTAAATTATACCAAAATTTAAATATATAATGCAAGCCCAACTCGTACTCGAATACGTGATTTTACATTAATTTAAAACAACTGGCGTGATTAGATATAACCCTGAATGACTGCAAACTACGAAACCATAGATTCACAGTAATCTTAACAAGCTACAGCTGAGGATTTCACATTTTAAAATTCATTATCAGGTATATGAGAAGGTTTCTTTATATATTATAGTTTATAACTATAATAAGAGTAAATGCGGCCTTGATTACTGTGTTTTGACAATCAAGAAAATGCAGCCATATTTAGTTCTTTATATTATATAACGTTCACTAGTTTTCTTTTATAATCGCTACTTACATATTATACCAAATTTTATACAAAAAGGACATTTTTAAATGTAAACTAATGCAATATACAGTCGACCCCCTATAACACTGTTGATAATTCCGTTTTATATGAATTCCATGTTGTACGAGTCACTTAGATTTTACAAATACGTGTGCCGGGCTGTGAACGGCTCACGTATTTGTAAAATCTAAGCGACTCGTACAACATGAAATTCGTATAAAACGGAATTATCAACAGTGTTATAGAGGGTCGACTGTATAGTACAAATCTTACGAAACAGTAACAATAGGACGAAACATGGCGAATAAGTATTGATAATTGAAACGCGCTACTCCATAATATGTTTCAATTTTTAAAAAATCCTTTTGTTATGTTATATTCGTAGTTTTTAATTTAGAAATTCTGTGCTTATGTACAGTACTTTGTACACGATTTCATATAAACTATAGCAGCTAAAATATACAGCTGTACGACAGTAATAACTAAACATGGAAAATGTATAGTACGATTGAAATGCGTTATTTTACGTATCTATTGATTTTATCGCAAATTTCGTCGCAACATTCCGATACAACACTGTTCTGAAATATAATGATTTTAGTATGGAAACCTAACCGTCAAACAACACACACAACATCGACAACGAACAGAACTCTAACATAGGACTAAACATGGCGGATAGATGTGAGCGCGTTAACTATTTTCGTAGGAGTGCTGCTGTTGAATATCTCTGTAACACTAATATAACGCCCACCGAACTTGGATTTATCTTTCTAGAACAGAAAATCCAACCGTGACATATTTATTCTCATTTTTTAGCTTGACTTTTGACTTAAAAAACGTGACCCATATCTGTATTACAACCTCTGTAAAAGCAACATGATAAATGCATATACCCAAACAAGTGGCAAATGGTTAAACAACACGTGTAGTATTGTAAGTGCGTGGAAAAATTTCTAGAAAAAAAAATTTATCTAGAAATTTTGAAAAATTGTTAAGATAAGAGTTTTAGGAGGAAGCTTCGCATGTTTTAAGGTATCTAGTATGCTTACTAGCACTAAGACATATGGAAGTTGAGATGTTATGATTTGATAAAACTTGTTATCAAAAATTCTAGCTTCTAACTTTATCACTCAAGTTGTTTCTTCTACGCTGGATCACTTCATAAAAGAAGTATGACAAGTGATTATTTATTAGACTGTCCACAATTTAAGAAACCAGACAAGAAACTATTATTATGTCAAGTGAGCCAAAGATAAAAACATATAGATTAAGATAATATTAAATTAATAGGCATAATAACGAAAAAATAAAAATTTATATAAAATAAGGGTGGCCCAAAAGTCAATTAGCAGTGCTGGGGTTTTTTTTTTACTGTTCCATTTGCACTCGTGAACATAAATTGTAAACGTGTATAGAACAACGTGGAAATATGATTAAACATATAATTAAATATGCAAATAGTTAAATAAGACCAATTTCATTTTCACAATGGTTAACAGATTTTTAGACCACTTTTTTTTTATCAGCTGAAAAATAAAGTAAATAATTTTTCAAAATTAGTGGCGCCATCTCTTAGTCAGGTAAAACATTGAAAAAATTGTATATTTTTATTTTTTTATTTATTTTTTATTATGTAATTTTTAAAATAATTATACTTTAAACAATTAAAACTAAATTAATATTAATATTTCTTTTATTAATATCGAACGTTGATCTTTCGTGGGGCGCATACGTCTTTAAAAAATATAGTTTCTTCATTCGTGTAATTCTTCTGATGAACTTTGCTAAATAGTAAAACGGAAAATCGACTTTAAAATTTTATAAAATATTTATAATATAAATAAAACTATAAGAGAAAGCCTTATATAATATTTTGCAATTTTATTTTCTAAAATAAGATATCAAAATCGCAAATTATCCCGATAAAATTATAAAATATTCACTTTTATTCCGAATGTAACTCAATTTAGAATTACTTACAGTTGTATTTCCTTTGTATTTTTTAATGTTTTTCTTCTATAATATGTAAAAGATGCACATTAATTAATATATAGAGTGACTCAAAAGTCAATTAACCATTGTAAAGATTAAGTTGTGCCTTATTCAAATAACTAAATATTTAACCACGTTTTTAATATGTTTTCTTGTTATTCTTTTCATATCTATTCTATTCTGATTAATATTACGTGTGTTTCTGGAACAGGCAAAACAAAACAGTAACCTGACTTTTGGGTAATTCTGTATAATCTTACTACATTCTCGTAGTATTGATATACATAAGGCCCAAAAGTCAGTTAAATGTTTTAAAGATTGCTGTCTTATTTGCATATTTTATTACTTACAAAGCTTACAAAAACTTTTTAAAATACACACATTAAAATGCTTCGATATATTAAATTATAACATTTTAAAAGTTCCATTAGCTTATTTCAGCCGTTCACATAGTTAATTGATTTTTGGGTCACATATATTATTGATTTTAGCGTGTGTAATGTTTTTGATACAAGTGTACATGCAGATATGCTTAATTAAAAAACTAATAATACTTACAACAATATTAGAAAGTAAAATAGGAGACTAATTAAACTTAACTAATTAGCAGAGAAAAATAAAATTAAACAAAAGTTTAATTCTGTTTTTCTCCTTTTACAACTTTTACAAGCTTTGAGATTGTAAAAGGTGTTCTGTAAGAGATGTGTTAAGAGATTTCTTTCAAGAAATGTAAATTAATAGTAGTGTTTGTTTTAGTTCTTCAATCTTATTCATCTTTAAGGCAATCATAATCGTAATTAATCTTTGTTAGAACAATTTCTAACGAAGATTAATCATAATGTACAGTACATAAGCAGAGATTCTTTGCAATATACATAAGAAACTTCTTCAGATATTTATGAAAAAATCTTGTTTTCTTTACTCTTTCATCTTTTCTAACTCATAGTCATTCACTTTTATAAATAAACCCTATAACTTATTCAAATGATATTTTTATGATAATTATTTCTCAATTTTTCATTTTTCTTGTTTCGAAATAGTTTTCGATAATTTTGTTTTAAATTATTAATCATTTAAGCGAATCTTAATCTATATCTATATCTTTATCACAAAATAAAACAAAACTTTATTTTATCTTACACTACAAGTGTAAAGAAACAAGGAAAAATAATCTCTACACTTCATTTTGATTCTTGTGGGAAAGTGGGTACGTGTTAAGAGATTTGTTTAAATATATATTTTATCAGTCGATTTATCAAGTTGCCTTGATTTATCGACTGATAAAATATTTGGATAAACAAACTTCTGCTCAATTTATCACTCTCAGAATTAAGGATATGTCAATATGGAAAAGACAAACAGATAAGCATTTTATATCCAATTTGACCTTTTTACATAATGTTTAACAGAAATGCGATAAAGTCTCGAGCCAAGTATATAATTGAATAATATTTTGAATTAGTTATGCCTCTATCTAATTAGTACAGATAATTGAGAATCTACAAAATGCACACTTCGTGTAGAAAAAATTTTCTTAAGTTAGTTTGTATGAAACATTCATTTGGTAACATTATAATATGTTGATGCTTTTAGTTCTGTATCGGTTATAATAAACACTATATACGAGTACAATTACAGTAATACTATTTTTAAATTACTGGGAACATTTAAATAATATCTATGGAAGTCAATTTTGTATACTATTCTTGGCTTTACTTAACATAACCTATAACTTAATAAATAACTTAAAATTTCAATAAAATATGTTCAGCTCCGGTTAAATTCAGCTATATAGGTCCAATTGGACCTGCAAACACAATGAAATTAGCAAATAATTTCTTTTTTATAAAAACACTTAAAATAAACATATAAGTGAATATTTTATAGTTTAGAATTAAAATTACGTTTAGGATTTTTGCCATTTTCCATTTTTTTTCTTGTCTTTTCGCCCTGTGGACACTAAGATGATCTTTTAATCAAGCCCAACGTGGATTCCACCAGACTCACAATGGAGCGATCGGGTGGTGAAGACGAGGGCCGACATATCCGGGTCGGACAGCCAATGAAAATTTTCTTGGGGAGTTTTTCGACCATCCGGATTCGTTTCCGGATCTCTCAGAGGGGTAGGCAGATGCCTTAACCGCTCAGCCATCCGGTCATCTGCCATTTTCCAATTATAAGAGACTATACCTATACTAAACTTATATTCTAAGTAGCGATGGACATCAGGTCGGCTGGATGGGTAAAGCGATGAGGCGATTGCTTCAAGTGGCAAAATGAAAGAGGCAGTCAAATTGTTCAAAAGGAGAAAAAAATAAATAAATGACATTCAGCCGAATACAGTGAAGTTTCATAAATGTACAGTACTTTAAAGTTGTTTATACTGTAAATGGTTCATACAATAGTGCCAATGCTCTTTATTGACAACCGTTCTGGAAGCAGGAACAGCCAAAATCGGTTTCGCCTCAGATGAAACTAACCATCGAGCCGCAATTTAACTAATTAACTTGCCTACCGGTGTCCTAGTGGATAAAACCACTGAACACTGGTGTTTGATGGTGGATTAACCTTTGAACAACGGACTGGTCTTGTAGAGTTTTCCGCGTTTTTTTCACGCGTCTAACATCTAAATAAGGCCCAGTTTTTCATATAAAGTCCTTCCGGAACACACTCCCTGGCAGTTTTTCCCTTACATTACGTTGTAATATCCTGTACAACTAATTAACTTACAATCTGACATTATATTTAACGTTAGAAACAGTTCTTGTCGATTTCGGTCCTTCTGGATAGATAAATATCTTATTTTCTTTGTTTCTGAAATCTTTGTATCGTTTCATCGCAGTCAATTCTTTGAACAGGTCTCCGTCATGTTTAGGATATTTGCTGAAACAACCATCTTTCATTCCTCCCAACTTTATAAAGAAAAGAGAGAGAGAATATTAAATATGTAGAAAATTTGAAAAATTAATAATAAAAATATGGTAGAGACCATTTTTCCACAAGCGGTAGGAAGGAATGGTAAATATGTCATTTTTCCTATTTTTTTAGGAGGTTTAATTTTTTTTGACATTTCGGTATCTTCTTTATAAGGATTTTTCCAAAAATACCCGTTAGGAGATATAGCAATGAAAGGCCCTTTATCTAAATTCCAATTAACCTGAAATCAATTAAACTTTATAATTAAAATTATCGAGAATTTTTAGATCCATTATTCAAGCAAATAATGAATATAAAACTTTTTAAGAGTTTCAAAGTAACTTTTTTTGCTTAAGTCTACAACAAATGAATATTTCATCATCCAAACATTTCAATCACCACTCTGGGAGCATATAAATCGAGCTTTTAATTATTAGTCCCGAGTGTATTCTCCACTTAAATAAATTTAATGTATTTATGTTATAAAAAGAATTCAATTGATGAACATTAAATTTCCTAACAATTTTATAAATTTATAAATTTTAAAAATAAATTATCTTCAGGCTACACGTTATGTAGCCTGAAGATGAGTTAATTCATGATCTATTCTTTTAAGGTTAAAAGTATAGTGTTATTAATTAAATAATTTTATGATGATTATAACAGATGCGTTTTTATAATTTAAATATAAATAAAACAATAGTACGAGCTATATGATGGTTATTGAGTTATATTAAGTGAAAAATTTTATTAGGTTAAAATTTTGATAAGTGAAAATTCGAATCAAATTGATTCATTGATAAAAATTTATTTAATGAGGAAAAATTGTAATCAATCGTTGCCGATTGATGCAATTATTCCTCATTCATTCGTGAAGTTTTTTGGTAAATTGAGAGCATCATTTTTTAGAGGTTATTTACTATTAACTGGAAGTGTAAGAAACATTTTAGAGATTATATTTTAATACTTCGTTTCTTACTTTCCCAGGACATAGGCTATTTAATTATAATGGTTTTTCATCATTTATATACTTGGGTATGCGGCGTTGAATCAATTTCGCGTCATCACATATAAAATTCTATAAGGATTACTTGAAATGAAAAAAAAAAATGTTCTTAATTTGTTTATAACACTAATATAGTCTACTTTATAAAAAACGAATCGGCATATTCGATACAACTTTTTTCAATGGCGGCAGCGAAAGTGTGAAATTACAGAGTACTTATTTCATATTGAAAATATACGTTTTCTAAATATAAATGGTGACGGCCAGATGGCCGAGAGGCTACCGTTTTAGAGACCCGTGATGGGTCGAGAAACCCCAGAAATTTTTCATGGATGGTCCGTCCGGATAGGTCGGGCATGTCCCTCGCCATCTGGCCGCCAAATTGTGGATCTGGCTGAACCCAGATTCAAAACGGTCTTGCTAAAAGGAGCTAAATGCTTCTTTCCGCTCTTAGTGCTTACAGGGCGGAAAGAATTTAGAATTAAATACAGAAGTACCCTAAACTCTGTAACGTTCGAACGCTAAATTCGACAAAAATTTGTCTCGGATTTCGAACGATGCTTCATAATTCGAACTGTGCATGTTTTGAAAAAATGCGCTCAAGTTATCTCAGACTCTCGCGTTACGTAACGCTCGTATGTTTCTAGTGCTTTTTTCGCTTCGTTTTTGGTACGTTTGGTTATATGTATTGTGTATTCGTCGATTTTTAGTAATTTCTTCCTGCAATTTTTGTTTTCAATGCTCCGTACATTGTTTATCCGTTAGTTCAAAATTTCCCGAACTTTTTAAAACCACATTTGCATATTCGAAGTTTAGGAGCATCTTCCCCATACACATTACGAACCTTTTTTACTGTTTGCAGGACGTTATATCCTTTCCGAAATTGATAAAGAGTAGTATGCCGGATAGGCTTTTTATCTGATGACATTTCGACGCGATTTTATTCACACATTTTAAACTTTTACTTTCAAAACTTTAAACTTTTACTTCATATTTTATGAAGTAAAAGTTTAAAATAAGCTTCTAAATAAAAAGTATAATCTCTCATTAGCAATAACATGTTAAATTCACGACTATTACAATTAAATCATACAATTATGTTATGACAGCTGTTAAAAATAGTCAAAATCTTTTTGTTCAACTCAATATAACTTTTACTTATTAACTATGGAATCCGAAAAGGATGTGAAAGCAACAAAGTATAAAAGGAAGGTTGTAATATCGACAATTGAAATTAAAAAGGAACTTATTGCGAAATATGAAAGCGGTACATGTGTGGCGGATTTGGAGGCCTTGTTTAAGATGCCGAAGTCGACGGTGTGCGACCAGTAAATGCAATTTTTATTTTATTACACATTATTTACATATTTTATTTATTGTTTTCAAGTTTTTATTTATTTTTAGAGCATGCAATTGCCTTATTTTTACACAAATAATGCCTATTTGCAATTTTAAGTTTATAGAAATGGGTATTGTTTGGGGTCAGAGAATGAATTAATTCATTTTCCATTATTTCTTAAAGGGAAAACTGCTTCGAACTTCGAACGAGCCGGAAGTTCTAACGACCTTCTAAAATAAATTAAGTTTGAAATATGAGACACCACTGCATATACAGTATATATAAATGGTAATTCGTTTCCGGTTAATCGTCTAGTAAACTTACTTAGTCTGAACTAGTGTTGGCAAAATCCGGAAATTCTCGGAATTAGCTATTTAGAATATTTTATAACAACAACAATATACAGACATCCTGTAATGAAAATCAAGTATGGGTTTACGATGAGTGCATTGATTATCAGCCTAAGGATGTGGATGTATTTATTTGCTCAAAGTACAATGAAAATTAATTAGCCATCGAATTTCAATAGCGTGCCTTATTTGAACAGTTCTCCTAGAAAGGCCCAATACGAAAGTTTTTTAAAGTCACACTTTCATACTGCTGAATAATAACACATCGCTGCTATGTAAGCCTGTATGTTTTGTTCAATGGTTTAATAAATACAGTGTAGGGCCACTAAACCGCGAATTCGCTTAAGCCGCGCGAAAAGCTTGGATCCCAAATTTTTGGCACTATGGATCGTACGGACCTGGACATAGCCTCTCAAACACTCGAGACAGGCGTTGACAGTTGTCATTTTGGCATTTCGAATGTCCGTGATTGACGTGATATGCACTATCGCGGATTAAATATTTAAATGCTGGCTTATAACTTCAAAGAGGTATTTATAGAATATTAGTATTTTATTTATCAATAAACAATAAAATAACTTACAATGAAATTCAAATACAGTATTAATCCGTTTTATCCACACTGAGCGTCAGCGTTACGGAGGCCGCCATTGTAACCGATTCACACCTTACAATGCTACAAAGTTAATCCGCAAAAAATCGACTCGTATTTAAAGTACAGTATCGTTATTCTTAAACAATAATTTATTATTAATTTCAAGACCGTTAATCAAAAAACATTTATTTTTCATTATTTATTGTAATTTATGCATTATCAAAAAATATTTAAGCCGCGGACCACCTAAGCCACGGTTAAGCAGTTTGAACCCCAATCACCGCGGTTAATGGCTCTATACTGTCTATGCTTCAATCATTGTTCTTACAAGCCACCTTATTTTCCCTAACACCTTTAAACGAGTTAAGTGGGCCATATTTAGGTATCGCACATTTTTTCTTAATCTCCAATACTTACTAAGTATCTGACATCATACGGATCATCAAGATGTTTGTATTGAGTTTTATTTATGGCTAAATCAGGATATCTGCAAGAAATCATAAATAATAAATGAGTAATAATTAAATTTAATTTATAGACTATTATTTTCGAATTACCCATATCCGGTTCCTTTTTTCCCCGGACTGGTATAAAAGTTTGGTTTCTGTTTTTCTCGCTTGGATCTCTTTATCAATCGAGGACTAAAATACTCGATGGGGCCAGAAAATGCCCCATAATGCGAACCTTTTCCTGATCTGGAATGTTTTATTTTCTTAAATAAGAAAAAACGAACGACTTATTGGCTTACTGTATTAAACAAACTATTGTTGATTTACGGGCATTTAGGAGTGGCTGGAGGATAAAAGAAAGGTGTTTTTTCTGGGGACTTTCTTGCAAGACGCCAGATGCGCTCGATATCTGTGTATGCTTCTTCATCGAATATTCTTTGAAAGTATCTCGTGAAGTAACCATCTTGATTCCCGCATCTCATTTTAGAACCTGGGCCTAACATCTGTTTATCTTTGAACTGTCGTAAGACTGTGTAGAGAAATATGTAATTTTTGTTCAAGTAGGAAATTATTCTGTTACTATTTATTAATTTACTTAATAATTATACACAATGACTACGAGAAACATAATCAATTATTTGAGAAACTAAGCATATCAAATTAATTTATATATAGTCTACTATAAGTATGATCCGAATAATAAGACTAATAACGTATACCAATAATTCAAAAATATAGTACTGAACAAAATGTGAAATTATCATTTATAATCTTGATGATCCGTTTGATATAATTAGCGAAAAACTCGGCGAAATGTAATGCAGAAAAATATTCTTATACAGTAGAAATGTAAAGAAAATTTGCCCATTATGATCAGCGAGAAATGATTATATTCTAAGGAAATAATAGAAGGAATTTCCCAGAAAAATTAAATAAAATTTTAATTTAAATTTCCAAATAAATGTTTATTAGCCGTAACAATAAAGATAGACACAAGCACATTGTGTATATTCTAAGAACAGTATCAAAATTAAACGATATGGAATAGGAACCATAATTTGGAAACTGACACTGAAAATTTTTGTATTACTGTTTCCTTGATTTCAAATAATCTTTGAAATCTTCCAATGCTTTTTCGTTAACTTCTTTATAGTAAGGTAATTCTTTTTCCAGCTTTTCTTTCCAGTTTTTGATATGCTCGAATTCACTAAAATCAATATCCATCACCTAAAAAATTAATCCAAAATAACAATTGTTTGTAATTATAGATTGTTAATTAAATAATCTTGTATAGTAATTGAATATTTTACCTCGGCAAAACCGATACCAGCAATTATAGATAGATCTGCGAGTGTTATATGGTCTGCAGCAATGTACTGTGATTTAGATAAAATTTCATCTAAAATGGCAGTAGAATCTCTTAATATTTTCCTCTTTTCCTCATCAGGTTTAGCCCCAGTAAATATNAATTTTAATTATTTAATTGCTCCTTCCTCTCTTCCTTGGCATGTTGTGAAATTTCTGATAGTTGGATAATAAACCGTTTTATTGTAATTTGTCTTTTTAAATTATTTTGAATCGATATTAAAATTTGGAAAAGGGGGATCCCTAGATCGGTAAAATAGACGAATTTCCTTCTACAACTTCGATTGTTGTTCGGGATACAGTTAAGGTTTTAACAAAGTTCGAGCGAATACATAATTAGCAAAAAAAGTTGAAATAAAGTGATTAAACAAAAATTATTACAAATATCGTAAATAACAGTTCACAAATGCATATATAGAGATATTTTTTGAAGGGGGTAAATGGTCTTCACAATTCGAAATCGATCGAACACACAGTATAAACGCGCGCCATCTATCGTAGGATAAATATACTATGCCAGAAACCTTCGCAGGAGTGTATTAAAAAACTTCCCAAAGTTTCATGGCAATCGGATTAACGGTGTGGTAATGCATGAAGGACAGACAGACAGACAGACATACATTCATTTTTATATATTTAGATTCGGGTCATTGTTTACGGTTTATCTAAACTCATAATTTACAAAATACAGTAATTAATATTGTTTAACTAGAATTTATATTGGTATTTTCAATATCTTGATCAAATTTCTTTAAAATAGATGAGTATTAATCAATATTATGATCAATCATTTATGTTCTAACTGTCAGTTTCCTTTAGATCAGGGGTCACCAAATTACGGCCCGCGAGGTCAGTTCATTCGGCCCACCTCCGCGCTGTGTCACAAATAAGGTAAAATGTAATTATTTATATGGAAATATCTTAGTTTGTAGATAAACTTACTATGTAGAAAAAATAAAAATAAATGTAAGTAAAAATGCCAGAAATGGTCCAATCTGATTTTTGCATCTGACAGTAATATAATTTTTAGGGAAAATCAGCGAAATGAAAAATTCGGCGACTTTTTGCGACTTTGGATATCAGAGTGCTTTTTGTGTAAGGACCTGAAATGAAGTTTCTAAGAAAAGAGATTACGAGCTTGCTGCAGTGATCATGTTTGTGTATTGGTAAATAAATATGTCGGTTGTCTTTATTTTTTGTGTATTTACTATTGCGGCCCACGCTCGTCATTCTCTCAGTTATCTTGCCCGCTGTGAAAAAAGTTTGCTAACCCAAGCTTTAGATTAATAAAACATAAATGACGAGACATGATCTTCAATGTTTTCTCCTTTTAATTTGCTTGAATCTAGGGTATTTAATTTAAAATTTGGTTTTTATATTTATACCTAATAGAAATATATAAAAGTCATAAAGGTGCACACCTAGTATCTTTTCTTATATGTTTTCTAATACCAGTATTTTATAAAATAAGAATATATCTTAATTAAAATTACTTTTATCGACATAATTCTTAAAAGATCTAACTCTAATTATGAATTACCTGCTGGAACCGGTGTATATCCGCCATCGTGAATGTAACCAAGTTCTGAAAACATTCCTAAAGTTTTCATAGCGCTTATGTCTGCATTCGTCTTTTTGAAAATTTTCTTCTTTTTCTTTTCTTCCGCCATCTTCCAGGCTATTAACTTTCAGTCGTTTCTAACAGATTCTGTAACTGTTATAATAATTATTATACGTATTGTTAACAACAATAAAATCATATCAATTGCAATATTAATTATGTTTAACAATATGTCTTTAATGTTATATTTTAAAAAAAGCCAGCAAAGAGTTGCGTAACTTTCCCGGCTGTTATGAGCTTTTATTTTAAAAAATAACTTTATCTTATTAATCATCTATATATTAAGTTGGTAAGCCTCAAATACTGTCCACCTTCTTTTGAGAGAACGTCTGAGGATACAAACATGTTTCAAGTATCAAAATAAAGCTCTCGCCCTGTGGATGAGGCCCTTGCAATCGGAAATGAAAAATTCACAGCCGTTCAGGCGTGGTGGAGCAGCAAAGATATAAAGTTAAGACATTCCTATAAGCATTAAACATTGATTTTGACTTCTCCCGTCATCTAAATTGAGATCTCGTTACATTTAGCAACGGAGTGATCGACCATTAGCCACTCGTAGGGAGCTGTTTGACTAAGTGGGTCACTCTTAGACATAAAAAAAGTATTATAATTCATGAAGATCTGAACAAAGATGTACTAAAAGAATTATATGATTTAATATTAATTTTTACCGTACCGTTGAGCGCAGTTTTTCAACCATGAAGCGAATTGATACATTGGCAAGGAACACTCAGTCCGAAGAAAGATTATCGTCACTAGCGTTGCTTTCGATAGAAAAAGAGCTTTTAAATATTTTGATGGAATCAACGACAAGCGATTTTTATGATAAAGTAATTAACAACTTTGCAAAAAAAGAAAAAAATGCCGAAAAGAGTTAGTTTATAAAAAATAATAAAAACAAGTTTTTGTATCCATGTCAATGTATTTATTTTAGAATTAAAATAAATAAATTGTTTATTTTTGTCATTTCCGGTATTTGTTTTGTTTAAAATTTTTATGGAAACACAGCTTCCCTATTATCAAATGTCACTGCACGTCACAGTTAGAGTCATATTTTTATTTGAATATAAAATACAGGAAAGTCTTAATCTGACTCTGATTTAGATTTAAACTGGAGTTCGTCAACCCTGTTTAATTAAGTCAGTCTACAGAATACGGATGTTAAAAAGCAAGAACGAAGAAACGAGACTAATCGGAATAGACGACGGGGACAGAAAATAATAAAAACTTCAAATTTCAAGGACGCAACGGTTTCTCTCAAAAATTCCAAGTGTAGAGCCAATTGTTTCATGTGTGTCTCGTACCTCTATTCGTTTCCGTTTTCCTTCCTCGTATCGACAGCTTTACATCACCGGAAGCGGACTGCATCGTCACTGGACCGTCGAGACGCCGGAGAAGCTCGCGAACTCTTTTATTTGAAACTACCTTAAAAAGGAGAGGAAGACCCAGAGATCTCCACCGACTTTAAACTTTCATGATTGCAGAAACTTTGAAAGCTCGTTTCGTATCAAATAAACGGTTTCTTGTAACCGTAGAGTCTGCCTCACCCACATAAGACCCTTTCAATCCCTCGTCAGTCTTGATTGTCCCGTCCCTTATCGGCAACCTCACATGTACCTACAAAATAGCCACACGATTCAACAAGACAAAAGGCAGAACAATGTTGAAGAACGCCATCACGCAAATGATTCTGAGGCCAATTATTGGGTGGGCCCGACCCTCACAAACCCATATAAGTGGCGTCACTGTTCCATTTTATTTCTTATATGTTAAAGAAAAGAAAATTTGATTAAAAAAAGGCTGTTAAATGAAAAATAGTTTTCAACACTGTTTTGAACTTTTAATAATCTGGGGTCGCAAGATGGTAAATGGCTAGAGACTCTCTCGTCTCTTAGATTCTTAGAGGCTCTGATTTTGATCACTATAATCTCTCCAAACATGCAATATTTTCATACACTATTTTCAAACTTAATAAAATATAAATTTACTCAAAATACTGTATTTTAAATGAAAGACATTAAAAATAAAAAATACTTAAAATTTATTTATATATTTGAAAATACACAAGAGTTAGCTTGAAAGTTTAATTTAATTTTTCTGTTTTGCATTTTATTTAAACGACAGTAACGTGCTTTTTATTTCTAAATTACAAGAAGAAAGATATAGAAAATATTCAACATCATAACTGTAAGTTATTTATGCAGAAAATAGTACTAAAAGAGAGCATTAAAGAAATACATTAAATGTTAATAGCACTAAACATATAAATAAACACTGAAGGTTTTTAATAGGAAAATCGATCGATTTGAACTTGTAAATTATGATACAATAAAGTATAAAGAAAAAACTGATTAATATAAATTTTGAACGACAGTATATTCTCCAAAACTTTAACAGGAGTCACATGAGTGTTCTAATCAATCGTCGTGTATTAAAGCAAACAATCCACTGAAAATTTAGCCTACAGTATAGTCTGCTGACTGTCATGTGACGGGTGATTAAGGAGTCAATCTAACTCTTTGAGAACCCGAATCGGATTCAAGCAAACCCCAAGAATTTTTCATAAACGGTCCATTCCGGATATGCCGGGCCCATTCCTCACCACTCGGCCGTTCCCATTGTGAATTTGGAAAAAGCCCTCTTAGTTCCCACAGGAAAGAAATAGCCAAAAATGACAAAGAAAACAGTATAATTCGCTTTTATAAAAATCCATCAACAAGTTGCGTAACTTTCCTGGCTTTTATGAGTTTTAGTTAATGTTACCCTATTGTGAGACCTGTAAGGCCCCTGGGACTAAATTAATAATTCCAGCAACAAGTTGCGTAACTTTCCTGGCTGTTATGAGTTTTAGTTAATGTTACCCTATTGTGAGACCTGTAAGGCCCCTGGGACTAAATTAATAATTTATTAATTATGTTAAATATTGTCACCAAATATTACTTCATTTTTGGTGAGAAAAATAANCTAAATAAAATTGTGTGGCCACTCACTGCTGGGCTTAATAGTTTTAATCTCGATAGAATATATAAATTTCGTATTATGCAATTAATTGCGGAATTGTTATTTCGAGACTATTATTTTGAGAAAATAAATTAATGACGAAAATAATAAATCTAATTGATTTTTAACTTGTTCGAAATAATCCTAACAATCACACTAATTTAAGATATTCGTTTGATTTTCGTGTCTTTCCTTATCGCAGATGCAACTTATTTAAATGACATAATTCATTAGATATTTGCTGTAAACAGCAAATAATGATTTAAACTGATTGAGTAACATACATGGACTATATAATCAACGTTACTTTTTTCATTATGAGATTTACTTTCTTAATTGTGTCATCCAAACTGAATACCATACTGGCTGTACAATTGCAAATGGGATAAGACAATCCACGAAAAAGTACAGATACGAGAATATTCGAATATGAATAACAATAACAATTTGCTTATAACAATAGACATTATGTCTTATTACGCGAACATTCTAGCAAAATTCAGTTATTTATTTATTTATTTATCTATTTTGCTTTAAAGAAACCTAATAAAAATAAAAGGTATTGTTTATATTGTATTTGTTACGCGATCCATCAGTTTTCAATGGTCTCCACGATTATCTAGAATTTTGCTCACTATAGTGAATCTATTCTGTATAATTGGGCAACGTGGACGAAAACCCAATTAATCCATTTACGATCTCGAAAATCTGGATCAGCTTCCGAATTTATATCTTATACGACAGTAAGAGAATATCTTATTGCTCGGTCATGAAAAGGTGTATTTCAATCAATTACAATTAAACAGGCACCCATTAGTGTCCTCGAGTGGATAACATCACTAAACGCTAAATTAATCGTGGGTTCGCATCTCGCCTACAGGCTGGAAACATGGAATTTTCTGGGTTCTCTTCACGTTTATAATACCTAAATAGGGACCAGTTTTCAATAAAAAGGCAAGAGCGATCTGCTTCCCCTGAGGCAGACCACCCATGAGTCGCGTTGCCATATGAAAGCAAACAAACAATTAATCAGAAAACTTTTTCGTATCAAATTTTCCGACATCTGAGAAGCAGGAAAACTTGCCATAGCATGAAAACACTTCGTTTCCAAGTCACCATTCCAGCAATGGCTACTAATAGCAGTTTTTTTTAAACTCTTTCCGCCCTGTGGACATTAAGAGAGCCTCTTTTTTAGCAGGCCCATTATGGGTTCGGCCAGGCCCACAATGGGGCGACCGGGTAGTGAGGGACGGAGCCCGACATATCAGAACAGACCATCCCCCGAAAATTCCTGGGGACTTTTCGACCCGTCCGGATTCGAACCTACTAATAGTAGTATGTGAGATGGTCGGATGGCCAAAGCGATTAAGACATATGCCTTACACACGCCCTCTGAAGATTCCGGAATTCTGTCCAGTCAGACTCTGAGAAATAATTTTGGGTGATTCAATCTTGAATATGCCATGTCCTGGTCGCTTCCTTATGAATATGGCCAAATTCTTTATGACAATGAAAAAAGTCATCTTAGTGCTTAAAGAACCGAAAAAGTTTAAAAATACAAACAAAAATGATTGTTTTGTCAAAACTATATCTCACAATTCGATCTTGAATTTGAACGTATCAATTATTAATTCTTGTTATTTTTAACTTGCAATATGTGCAGAAATACGAGCATTTAAAATACGATCACAACTTAAAAAAATTTAATGAAATTTAATTACGTCATTTTTTTAATTTTGCGATTTTGAAACCAGATACTGTACATTTTCTAATATCTATAACGAGCGATTATTTATTGTGACATGATCACAATGCCGGGCTACAATTTTTAATCATATTTTTAATTTATTTAATTCAAAATATATGCTTTCCACTTCAAATTAGTAGTGGCTTGCTCCTGTACATCACACTTTTCCTTTAACAATAGAGTCGTGCTGGTCATCTATTAACTGCTTTCAGGGGAAATTTTCGAATTCAAATCGCGTGATTTCCGGTTTTCACCGGAAGTTAGTATATAGTTAATCGGGGCCTCCTGTTCCTAATGTCTCCATATCATTTGGTCTCGGATTTCATCTATCTAACTTCGTTCTCGGGATTAAGGAAAAACAGATGGACGGCCAGTGAGAATTTATAGGACTGCAATTTGAAAAACTGTAGACCAATAATAACATAAGTTCGGTATGTGAGAATGTATTGAATAATATTTTTATATAAAATAATAATAAAAATTTCATCTCATTTAACGATGAAGCTTACTTTAAAAACGCAAAATATCATTTTATAGTAAGGTTGATTAAATAAGATATAGCCATTTACATTTTTATGAATAAATGAAAAATTTTACAGACTAATTTTATATTTAATAATTTCAATAAATCACGAAACGTTTCATTTAGTTTATATTGTAAATAAAAAGTTAATGTTAACACCATCTTTCTTAAGCTATTGAAATGTTTTCTGAATAATCTTGGTTTTGTTTTTTATATTTCGCAATAAATTTCTAAATTAATGTGGTCTAATCAAATCCAATTCTATCTATCCAACAAATGAAATTCTGTTTAGGGACTAAACACTTAAATTAACGGTGTACATTTTGCTCTCGTTTAAATTGCAATAATGTCGGCCAGATGGCAGCAGCGGCTTAGTTTTGTCTTACCGCTCTGTGTGGAATCAAGTCTGGGCTACGACTGCCGTCAGCACGATAATCTTCGGGTTGGGTCGGTTCACCCCTCAACTTCCGATCGACCACAGCATGATGAACCGTTCATGCCTCAGTGCCGAGTGATTCCTTCTATAACACACAAGCTGATATGATTATGTACAGTAAGCTATGTAACATGTGCATATTATGGGTACATGTAAAAAAAATATAACTTTGTTTTATATTCTTTGTGTTACTGATTTTATGTTCTACATTGTCGTTGTTTATGGCCAATCATTTATTTGCATCTTGGGATTTTTTCTGGCAACTGCTGTCTTCCTTGTAAATATTTTGAATAATTATTAATTTTAATTTAAATTTCCAAATAAATGTTTATTAGCCGTAACAATAAAGATAGACACAAGCACATTGTGTATATTCTAAGAACAGTATCAAAATTAAACGATATGGAATAGGAACCATAATTTGGAAACTGACACTGAAAATTTTTGTATTACTGTTTCCTTGATTTCAAATAATCTTTGAAATCTTCCAATGCTTTTTCGTTAACTTCTTTATAGTAAGGTAATTCTTTTTCCAGCTTTTCTTTCCAGTTTTTGATATGCTCGAATTCACTAAAATCAATATCCATCACCTAAAAAATTAATCCAAAATAACAATTGTTTGTAATTATAGATTGTTAATTAAATAATCTTGTATAGTAATTGAATATTTTACCTCGGCAAAACCGATACCAGCAATTATAGATAGATCTGCGAGTGTTATATGGTCTGCAGCAATGTACTGTGATTTAGATAAAATTTCATCTAAAATGGCAGTAGAATCTCTTAATATTTTCCTCTTTTCCTCATCAGGTTTAGCCCCAGTAAATATTTGAGGAAACTACGAGGGAAAAAATGATTATTTACAACATAAAACACTTTTAAAATATCATTATAGAAAAAATACATAGATCTATTAATACGTTAGATACTTACCACGAAATCGAGCACCTTTTTATATAGATTTCCAATATCAAAATATAACATTTTGTCTACTTCGGCTCTTTTCTGTGGATCTTCTGGATACAAAGAATTTCCTGGAGCATATTTGTTGACTAAATAGCCCATTATGGCTCGGCTAAATTTAATATTAATAAATTGTTTATCATAGTTTGTCAATAAACGTACAATTTAAAAACATAATTACTCGATATTTTATAAATTTATAATACTGTATTAGTATTAAATAAACTAAATTTAAAATAATTTCTAATATAAATCTAAATATTGTTTGAGACAAAAGAGGCATTTTCCTGAGGCCCCACAGTTTTAGGTCTGAAATCATCTAAATTATTGGGACTGATTCACAAAAGTATCGTTACTAACGACGTAATATGCTAACGAAGTTGCTAAAAATTTTAATATATTTTTTGAAAACTTAGAAAACGCTTTTATTGGTCATGTTTTTCGAGAATTGGGATGGGAATGGTGGAGGCATCGCTCTCACTATATACATCGCCACAGTGCATTTATACATATAGCCTATATCATGATTAAATTCTACATTTTGTTGTTTATCAGGTTTCGGGTGAAGTCATTCCCTCTTAAACATCATTAAGATGCATTGTCGTCAGACTTAGGTATGTCCTCAAAGTTTCAGTCTTCTATCTTAATGAAAAATGAGTGAAATTTGAGTTACAAGATTTGAGGACATGCAAAGCGATTTTAAATAAAAGTGTTTAATAAAAATAACAATTTAACGATTTTTCGTAGATAGATTCGTGAAAGCCGTAGCAGAGCATTGCGTGGCTAAAACAAAGATTTTCATAATCTCGCCCAGCATTTCTTGTATGGCCAATAAGAAATTATAAATTATACTCCTCTGGGTTATCGATTGATAATAACTGTGGAAGGACGACGACAATTTTAACAAAATGATAGAGTTAAGAATTTTGTTTTGTTTTTTTAAATCAGTTTATAATATAAAGAATCAGAACAGCTTTAAATAATATATTCTGTAGTCAGTGATTATCAAATGTAGGCCTATTTAGAATATTTCACAGTAAGCATACACTAAAATCTACTTTGATGTAAGAAAGTTTAGAATTGAAGCTTGAAAATGAATGAACAAAATCGTGCTCCTCACACACATACAGAAAAACGCCCAGACTTTTTTGCATTTCTCAACATTACATGGTCCCGAGTCCAAAAATGTAAGGTCATTTTTTGACTCATTACCATACTTTCTCTTTGTTTTATATAACAGCGGAAAAAGTAAAATGTAGAAAATAAATCGTTCTAACGTGACACATCTTATAATTTGGATTAGGTCTACACCGTTACAAACATGTTAAAAACATCGTAGAAATAAAGTAGTGTAAATTGAAGTTCATCACCGATAACAAAAGAAAAACTTTGGTACGATTTTATATATAAAGCATCACATAAAAAAAGTTATACCGAATTATTATAGATAATGTTCATATTAATTAATTTCATAACACTATCTACAAGTTGGATGTGGACAAGTTGGATGTGTTGGAAGTGACAAGTTGGAAATGTCACTGCGGAAAATATTTAAGGCGCATAAAACAAATATCCAATAGAATAGTGTTTTCTCTTGGTACATCTTTATACGCAATCGATGATTTTCGATTAAATTAAACTTTACTTCTTTTGATAATCAATAATATCTAAGAACTATGATATCATCAATGGATAGATGAGTAACCGATAGATTCGGCATGTTTATTCTCGTCATCGAACATGAGCTAAGTTTCTTCAGCCATTTTGAAACTGAATAACGACACCTCTGTTATTGAGGTAAAATAACGACATTTTAATTAACGACATGTTTCGTGAATAGCCAACGTTCATGTTGTTATACCTTATAATGACAATGCATCGTTAGTGAATCCAGTTTGTAATACTATTAAAACCTTCCAAAGAAAAGACCAGTTTTCCTAGGGCCAGTAGATAGGTGAAATCGGGCCATAAACATTAATTAATATCTAACATTAAATTGATGTATAATATCCAAATCTAATATTAAGTCGAAAATAAAAATCTTAATTATTTATTGTAGCATCGTCACAATGCCAGGTTGTAATTTTTTAATCATATTTTAATTTAAAAATTAATCGGGGCCTCCGGTACCTAACCTTTCCATATCTGGTCTCGTTTTTTCTAAGAGATTAACAAAGAACAAATAAACCGACAGGCGAACGACAGTGGAAATTTGGGCCTAGAGGTCTGCAATTTTAAAAATGCAGCACAAAAATTAATGTGTTAGTAAAATAAACGCATGATAAAATTCTAAAGTATCATTACAAAGATATACACATTATTTGGATAAATAATACTCCTAATGATGGCAATGAAGTAATAAATATCCTCAGAGATGAGTCTGAAAGCAATTATATCAAATGTAAAAGCCACTCTATATATTAAATCGATACAAACAATTCAATTTATGGACAATTGAACAGTGATATATAGTTTAACTATTGTGAGCATTAGTAACAGCATGCCATTCGAATGATGTATAGTGTAATGTAATTGTTGAATTGCATGCTATGCCATATTTACTATGAGTAATAAAGCTTTAAAAATTATAATTTTCGTACCTTTCCCAAAGAATGAAGCCATTATCGTCCAAAGTTGGAACTGAATGTTGTGGATTAATCTAAAAAATACAATGTGCATTTTATTTAAATTTCTGCAAAGTATTTTAATAGCCTATATAAATAACAATAAATAATCATATTTTTTATACAGTATTACTTTATTAATAGAACCAATCCGTAAAGCGCTTTCGATCGCAAGTTATACAGTAATTTAGTAATATGGTATATCATGATACATTATTAGTAAACAATTCGGTTACATTAGTGACCCTATATAGTAAGAGGTTGGCATTCTCTAATTTGGAAGTCATGTTTCATCGGATTCCTTCTAGGTATTCGTAAGCGGAAAAATCCCATATTAGCTTTATTTCCGTTGCAGTTTTCTCACGGCAATTACAATTTAAGTATACAGTATTTCAACTGTATATTCATATTTACAAAGCATTTAAATATATGCTTTGTAAATATGAATAAACAGTAAATATGAAATGCTGTATAATTAATTATACAGCATTTATTAAATCTAATGTATATTCATATTTACAAAGCATTTATTTAAATGCTTTGTAAATATGAATATACAGTAAGTATTAAATGCTGTATAATAAATTACTAATAATAAAAATTATTGCTATTTTGTGAAACTAGTGTATTTTGTAACAATTCATTCCCGATAAAACTTATTCTATGTGAATGTACCGTACAGATTTACAATAATTAATTATGGATAAGATGGAATTTTCAGACCAAAATACCACTATATATTTATATAAATAGAGTAGAAACATCTTTTACAAGATGTATCTACTCAATATGTATAAATATTTAGCTTAAAATCGTCAAAACAATTTTTACTGTCTCGAAAAAAAAAAAGAAAATAAATACCAAGAATCAAAGTCACGTTATTTTTATTATAGACGTGCAATTATTTATTGTGATATCGTCACAATGCCGGGCTGTAATTTTTAATTATATTTTTAATTTATTTAATGTTCTCCACCTCAAATTAGTACTGGCTTGCCCTGTACATCACACTTTTCCTGATAACAATGGTCATGCTGGTCATCTATTAACTGCTTCCAGGGGGAAAGGTTTGAATTGAAATAACATGACTTCCGGTTTGCATTGGAAGTTCGTGTATACTTAATCGGGGCCTCCTTGTTCCTAAGCTTTCCATATCTGGTCTCGAATTATATCTATCTAACACCGTTTTCGAGATTAAGGAAAGAACAGAAGGACGACAGTTGGAATTTATGTCCTCAATTTTTTCAAATTGCAGCCCAATAATCTCTATTGGGAACAAATGGGAGAAAACTGAAGCGAGAGAGCGGGAGAGGAAGTCCCTTAGTATAAACTAATTTCATTAAGAAGCTTATTTACATGTAATTGTTGAATTCAAAGGAAAGGGAACAATGAAAACATGTGCAGTATTTGGTAAATTATTTCTAATGATCAAATTGAAAATGCTTTGAGAATTTTCTAAGCAAGGGTACCTTTGTTTGGCCAAATATTAAAACAGAAATTTATGTTAGTCAAATTATTTACATGATCAAGGAAACTCGGGAAATTTTAATTGTTCTTACAAATATTCAATTATACTATGCATTAAAATCATAGTAAAGATATGTCTTAATCTTTTTCTTTCCTTTTTTTTTGTTTTTTCTTAACATGTTTTGTATCAATAATTCTTCTATTTTATTAATTCGATCATCTGTCTAGAAATTATTTTATTTCATTTGTTCCACTTTATAGTTAATTTTTTTAACATTCTAATTTATTTGTAAATGCTTTTTATTTGTGTAGGCCAAAATAAATTACAAAAATCTATTTTACCAGTGGTTAATAGTATTTTATCTGCTTCTCCAAATGGATCAATTATAATCATAGCTCATGAGATATCTGATAATTTTTACAGAACTTTTGTAACATTTTATTATACTGTATAATAAAATGTTACAAAAGTTCTGTATATTTTGTCTGTAATATGTTTTAAATTCTTTATGACATAGCTCACATCGTTAATTTAAAGAAATAAGAGTCAAAAATTTGTTTTTCTGACATTTATGAAACTATCCTATTATTTTATTAGCTCTTTCCAAATGCTGGTAAAAATTGACTGGAAGTTTTTGAAAAGCTTATTTTGATCAATATACTTTCATTACATGTAATATTAATTTAAACACTCAAAAAAATCAAAAAAGGTGAGTAATTAACACCCTTCTTTACCTATATAATACTGCACAAAGTACTCTCAATAATACTACACAAACTCCTCTATGGTACTGTACTGTACAGTACATCTAAAGTGGAATTTAGGAACAATGCAGAGTTATGTTCTAACCAGTGTCTAATTCATGGATTAAGTCCATTAATAATGATCTAGGGGGAAAAGATAGATTTAAAGTTTTCTTTCTCCAGCTATGGCTAAAAATGTTGACAGAATTAACAGTTCAGATAAGCTTGTTACTATTTGGCCTGTCATTAATGCCTCGGAAGTAGGTCTACAGTAAATTATAATTATTTTCTTCAATGATAGTCATGATCATAAACTAATAATATCTGAAATGTATCCGAAAAAGTATTATCTTACAGCAGAAGTAGGGAATTGACGACGAAACACGCTGTTTATGTACGGTAATACCTCGATTTTCGTCTGTTGCCTCGGATTTCGTTGTCGTACCCACCTGGCCGCGCTGCTAATTTTGCGAAAACAAAGGTCGACCCATACGTTTACCTGCTCAGAGTCGCTTTGTGTGAGCATTACCCCTGCGTCTAGCCAAAATTTCATTGCTTTCCTTTTCTTTTAGCTCCATATGGGACCAAAGAAAGTTTCCAGAGCCAGCAGCCTTTCGAATGTATGTTAAATGTTAATTTATTCTTTATATTAGTCTTTTATATTCATTTTATTTCAATTTGTTATTGTTTTTTGTATTAAATTCTATATTTATTCTCTATAAAATGTGTTTTTGGTATGTGTATGTATTTTGGAGTGTCTAGAACGAATTAGGCCTAATTGGATATACATTGATTCATATGGAAATAATTGCCTCTGTTTTCGTCAGTTTCGGATTTCGCCGATTGCTTTCGGACGGTTTATTGACGAAAACCAGGTATCACTGTATTAAATTAACCTAACAAGTGTGTTTATCAGCTTGTATAACCACATCGAGCGCCATCTTTTGAGTACTGATTTAAATATAAATTTAAAATTAAATTTATATTTAATTTTAAAATTTTAAAGTTATATTATATTATATAATTTAAACATTGGAAATTAATTTATACAATTATGAATAATTCTTTCAATAACATAAGTATTAAAGTACAACTTTTGAAAATAAAGGTGGACCAAAAGTCAGTTAACGCTGTTTTACTTAGTATTTTAGGAATGCTCTCGCGAATACGAATCGTAAATTAAATTTGGAACAGCATGGAAATATGATATAAATAATCTCCCTAATTTGAAACAGTGTCTGTGTTTCTATTTTGTTTATATCACGTAATGAAGCGCAATACAATCGACACAAGGCTTAGCGGATTAAAGGATGTAAAGAAAAGCCTTGTGTCGCTTGTAATGTACTTCATTCTGTGATATAAACAAAATGATTTAAATATTAAGATACTTTATTCTTTATAACAGTTAGCTGACTTTTGGGCCACTTTATATTTTAATTATGACTCACCTTGAGAAATTCCGGTTTTAATTGTTCTTTATTAAACAGATTAATTTCTTTTAAGGACAGTTCGATGCCGAGATGCTTGGCTGTCATAATAACAGCTCGACAAGGCGAGCTAACTGGAAAATGATAGAGAACGAGAGGCATGTCTACAGCTTGCGTTACCGGAGCAGGAACTGTGCACACCGCTCCCATTTGAAACGATTTTATCCAAGCGCAACTTCCTTATATGACTCTACAGGTTTTCTTCTTAAAACCATCCGGTTGTGTTTTGAATTACAAGTCACGGTTGCAATAGCAACAGGCTGTCGATAGACATATATAATAATCGAGTTTTCGGATCGTTTAGTTTTTTTTTAAATAAATGTTGTTTACTTTGTTATTTATTCATGAAAACATTCATTTTTATGGGTTTATTTCGCCGTTTAACACAGTTGTAAATAATTTATTATATTTCTAATGTTTTAAATATTAATAAAATATAATTGCTAAATCATTGTGGTGCCATCTAACATTCTTTTTAGTAACTATTTTAAAAATATATTATTTAAACTTTTTAAACAGAATCTCAAAGAAGACATCTGACAGTGTGACTTGTTTCATTTAAGAAAAAAATATTCATAGATTTCGTTAATATACGACTTTGATACAAGCAGTTGGGTTCATACCCAACTAGTTGATAAGTCCTTGAAATAGGATCTGAAGCATGATATATCAAGTTTGTATTAACTTAACAAACCCTTAAAACAGAATAAAATACATAATAAAACTAATAATTAATAATAAAATTAAATATAAATTATTAATTTGTTTAATATATAATAAAATATTAGACAAATTAATATAAATTGTTGATAAATGCTAATAAGTTACATTTTATAAACAAATTTTGTTTATAAAATTCCTTTAACATTTACGGCTCGAGAATTTCCGCGAAATTACAATATGTATTATCTAAATACACTTCCTAGTAATAAAAGTACGCGTAAAATGTTTATTATAAAATCCTGTCCATATTTCACCTCAGACTGAATATTATTCATCAAATTTAATGTTAAAACATTGCAAAACAATTTAAAACGAAAGAAATATAAAATTTAGAAGACACGAATTGTTTAAATTTACATAATATATATTTTTAAATTAGTTATAAAAGTTTTTTTTAAAAAGTTTATGTGTATGTTTTAAAGTATAAATAAACAAATATATTTTTAAAAATAGGCTAACAACTTATAATATTTTAACGTGTTATTTAGATTCAAATAACATATTGTTAATACACTGTACATAAACAATTACATAAACAAAAATTATATAGAACAACATGACAATACAGGTTCAGTATACTAGAATGGGGTCAATAAAATTGGATAATGTCATTAATTCCGGTCTATGATTCATTTGCACAAAATTATAAACAGAAGGTAAAAAAACGAGAAAAAATTTTAAAATAAATTTTAAAATTATACTATTTTAAAGAAGTAACTGTTAAGTCATATATAAAGTGTTTAATAGTGTGATAAAGAACATTTTAATTTTGTTTTCCTTCTAGAGATGGAGCCACCAGTTTACAAAGGACACTCGCACAGTTAGATAATACAATCAGTTACAGGTCCCGACGGTAAAGTGTCTGTCCACATTCACTCTTCTATCAATCAAAAGTGGCGTTAGGAAAAATTGTTTTCTTTTTTCGGTCGAAGTCTGATCAAATCGTCCACACCAATCTGATACAGAGTGGTCTACGAAACAGGCTTATGTATATCCCAGCTGGTAAATATACAATATCGCGGTTCCTGACGATGACGAATCGAATAAAAATACATCACGTGACACCCCACCAATCACATGGCTGAAGATTATTTTGTGCAGCTCGTTCTCCTCTCTGGGCGCGCACTAAAAAAATTCCAAATATTATTTAGACTCTTCCCTATATTTACTGTTGCTATAGCAACTATATCTCTGATTGAAATTTTTTCCCTTCTTTCTTTTTTTATTATTATTACGTTTCAAAACATCTGGAATTACAGGAGTTTTTCAATTTTGATTTCTCATTTATATTTTCTTAAAGTAACGAAAATCTAATTTCGTTTTCTCCTTTAATATTTTTCAGTTTGATTTATTAAAGATTATAAATAAATTTCCGATTATTGGAAATGTAAACTGATTTTATTCTCTTCCACTTCTATGCATTTTTCCCTGAAATTCCACTTCCAAAAACTTTCTTAAATTCAATTCTTTTCTGTAACAATTTTCGCTTTTTGGAGAAAATCGCGTTCGAAAATTATCATAAAATTTATATTTTTCGAAATTATTAAATCAATTATATAAGTAAAGTGATTAAATAAATTTTCTAAAATTTAATTAATTACAATTCGAAATTATAAAAAGCAATTTTCAATATGATGATGGTGTTAGAAAGTGAGATGGAATTATTTTATGTAAAGTTAGTATTTTCACATTTAAATCCTGAAATTTTATTTTACGAACAGATAATTATGAGTGGGAAAAAATCAGAAGAATTGACATCACAGAAAAAACTTTTCAGAAAAAATTTTATATTTGTTTTCACTCTTCGTTGATACAAACAAAAAGAAAGCACTGTAATTCTTACTTTTTTAAAAAGAACATACACTAGTATGGTACACATTGATGTATGTTCTCCGAGTACGTATGTGAGTTATATGCTATTCAAGAAGTGTCTGTGCGTCAAGAATGACAGGCTCTTCAATGTACGATCTTCAAGAAATGCTATACTGTATGAACTTCTTACATCATGTCTTGAAAAACATGTATTAATCAATGTATATTGTTCAAGTGTACCTGTTACTTATATCACTCCTTAATGAATACACATTGTTTAATATTCCCAATTAATGAATGTTTATATTTATATAAAAATAACTTATATTTAAAAAAAATATATAAGTATTTTGGAAAATCAACTCTAATATTTACAACTTCTAAGCTTATATATTTAAATTTTGTCATTTGTAGTCCAACATTCGTTATTCGTATAGCATCATATACTGAAACTGCGTAACAAAATTCCATTCAGAGTATGCTTTCGCCATTAAAAAAATACCTGTTATATACATTAATTACACACAAGGAATCTAATTACGAAAGAAAATTTACGATAAATTTAAATAAAAAATAAATATATTTGTAGTTAATGCTAACATACAACTAATATTCCCCATTTATGGCTGACGTGATATACCCCAACTATTTCGGTGCGCTGTAGTAAACTCTGACGTCATCAGCGTGACGTGAAATATGTGATAGAACTGCACACAATCGGTTTTTTAATATTAGCTGCCAACTTCTTCCGACATTCAGTGAGCGCCTCACAATTTCATTAAAACGTAATTATCAACTTCCTGCGAAGCATTTAGAATTTAATCGGGTCACGCAAAATTTTCACGTTCTCTTGTGCAGAATTGTTCATTACGTCATTATATCACGCGATTTAATTACAGCGCCGTTATATTTGCGGCGATTTATGTAACTAAAACGGCCATTTATTAATATTTATGTATTAATAATTTCTGAAAGAGATTCATCCATTTGTGTATCTGCCTGAGTTCTAGCTGTTGCTTCGTGATAGGGATCGCAATAATCCCATTTAATTGAATTTTGTTATGGTTTCGGTGTTAGTTCGAGTGTCAAACTCCATTAATTCAATCAATAGTTTTTTCTCAAACAGGATTAATTAGCTTATTTTAAACAGAAGAGTATATCCAATCAAGTGAAATTTGTCTTCATAAAAGACAATAGTTATAAACGACATAATTTCTCCTAATTCGGAAACAAGCGCGAACAATTATAAAATTGAATAAGTTGTGATTTTGTTTTCTATTTTTTAAAAATTAAAAAACAAAATAAATTTAAATACAAATTAGCTGTAATAAATATGTATTTAAAAAAAACATTAACTCTTTATGTATAGTTAAGATTCTATAGACATATACAGGGTCATATTTAGACCTGTTGGTAATAAGCTATAACATGGACGAGGCCTTTTATCTCCACCAAATAATAACGAATTTAAAAGCGTAAGGCCTTAGTGTACTCTTTTAGTTTGAAGCCCTAAGGTATAGCTTGTTTAGCTGACGTATAAATCCGGCTCCGGGCTTATATCAAATACTGTACAGCAGCGGTCGCCAACCGGTGGTCCACGAGAAAATTTTGGTGGTTCGTGGAGAAATTTGGACATTGATCAACTGAAGGTTACGCGAAGTATTACGAAAAAGATGAAAAATTCTTTCTCACTCACTGCTTTTTTATTCGAATCTTAAACTAAATACGAAATGACTGTTATCAATAACTAATAATGTCAATAAATCAATAAATAATGTGAGTGCGATTATCCTCCTTCTTGGAAAAGAGCCAGAAATCCATAAATTTATTTTAAACAAGCAGCAACAAACTTCACACTAAAGTGAATTTCATATTAATAAAGTAAAATGGAATTTTTATGTTCATTATTCTATCGTTTAAACAAAATTCATGACAGTGGTCCGCGGGATTCAAAGTTGTGAGTTTATTGGTCCGTGAGGTAAGAACCTATGCTGGCGATCGCTGTTGTACAGTACAGTACTGTACAGTACCTACTATTTTTTAAAATCGATAAATTTCTGATTTTTTATTTGTCAAGTTCTTTTTATATTGCGAAACACTAAAATAAATATTTTACAATTGTAAAATTTAAAAGCATTAGCCAAAACTGTATTTTTAGCGTAAGGCTCTTTAAACTATAAAACATCATATTTTTCGAAATTATTAAATCAATTATATAAGTAAAGTGATTAAATAAATTTTCTAAAATTTAATTAATTACAATTCGAAATTATAAAAAGCAATTTTCAATATGATGATGGTGTTAGAAAGTGAGATGGAATTATTTTATGTAAAGTTAGTATTTTCACATTTAAATCCTGAAATTTTATTTTACGAACAGATAATTATGAGTGGGAAAAAATCAGAAGAATTGACATCACAGAAAAAACTTTTCAGAAAAAATTTTATATTTGTTTTCACTCTTCGTTGATACAAACAAAAAGAAAGCACTGTAATTCTTACTTTTTTAAAAAGAACATACACTAGTATGGTACACATTGATGTATGTTCTCCGAGTACGTATGTGAGTTATATGCTATTCAAGAAGTGTCTGTGCGTCAAGAATGACAGGCTCTTCAATGTACGATCTTCAAGAAATGCTATACTGTATGAACTTCTTACATCATGTCTTGAAAAACATGTATTAATCAATGTATATTGTTCAAGTGTACCTGTTACTTATATCACTCCTTAATGAATACACATTGTTTAATATTCCCAATTAATGAATGTTTATA